CTTCCGATCCTCTTCGAGCTCACCAGCTAACGTTCTCGTAAAGCTGATGCGATTCAAATGGCAAATTCCAGACGCACCCACCTGCAAACCAAATCAGACAAAGGTGCACGGCGTGGCGAAACAAGAAAAGGCAAACATATCTTGCCAAGTGGACGCGAACCCGCCTGAGGTTCAATTCCGCTGGACCTTCAACAATTCCGCCGAGAGTATCGACGTGGCCGCCGGTCATATCGCCAGGGCAGGCACATCCTCCATCGTCTCATACACACCCATGACCGAATTGGATTACGGCACGTTGCTCTGCTGGGCCACCAATCGAATTGGACATCAACAAGTGCCCTGCGTCTATCACATCATACCGGCCGGTGAGGTATCTTTATGTGGTAATTCGATCATGGAAATTCCTGTCGACCACGAAACTCGATATTCGAATAACGTAACGCGGGCTTCCGATATTTTCTTCCTAACGATACGACTAATCGGGATTCCAGACGAATTAGATACTGTACTATACTATACTATACTATACTAATACTGACCAGGAGTTTCTTTGAGTATCGTGGCTAGCTTTCTTCTTTCAATATTAAAGGTACTTATAACGATGGAGGATCGCAAAATTTCGTAACACTAAATGTAACACAGGTGAGAAGATAATATTCTCGATTTCCTTGAAAATTGTGTCATTCGTGTTTCAATTGTCAATAGACAAGTATCAATGGAGCATTGTCAAGAAAACAATAACTGTGATATACCTGCAAAAGCTATGAAAAATTCCTCTACCCGAGATTCGACATAAATTAAGAAATATTGCCCACAAATTCCTCTGAACATCCTGATCTTAATGGAAGATCGTTCATTCTGAAATTAAAGCCATATATAATACACTAAATATAACACAGGAGAGAAGATAATATTCTCGATTTCCTTGAAGATTGTGTCATTCGTGTTTCAATTGTCAATAGACAAGTATCAATGGAGCATTGTCAAGAAAACAATAACTGTGATATACCTGCAAAAGCTATGAAAAATTCCTCTACTCGAGATTCGACATAAATTAAAAAATATTGCCCACAAATTCCTCTGAACATCCTGATCTTAATGGAAGATCGTTCTTTCTGAAATTAAAGCCATAGATAATAGCGGAGGATTACATAAGGCACCGTAACTGCGAGAGAATTCCATGTCGCATGAATAATGAATCGCGTTGCTTAACTCGTAAATGCCAAGCGTGTCGAAAGACGCATCGGGGAATGCAAATTGCTTAAAATATTGCTGTCGGATTAGCCCGTTCCATTCTACTCGGCTGGCCGTGCGCGGACCCGTTTCACTGGCCGATACGATACCGTCTTGAACTACTTGCTGGATCAGATACCGGTGGCGGTCTATTCGTCTGGCCAGATAGCGTCCGATTTCACTTGTCACAGGCCAGTCGTCGTTCCACTGCTGCTCAGCTGATAACTACCATCAATTCTCCTTAAGCCTCGACCATCGCGATCTTTCGACCAAGGCATTAATATAAACCGCGAGCGTTGACCGTCCAAATCGCTTCTCTCCAAGCATGGAACTATACGTTCGAGTTACATGGTTCGCGGGTGTGGGAAAAGTTTGTGGGCTGAAAAGGGACGGACAAAACCGGCGCGAGAGGGGGATTGAGGGGGAGAAATGAAACGTTCGCGGTCAGTGGTAATTACAAAAAAAATCCTCTCCAGCGCTATGCTGACTTTTCAAAAGCGACAATCCCACCGTGAAAAATCGAGGAGTTCCGGGATTAAAACGGAAGTTCGTTATCACGTATGTGTATGTATAGGAATCCGTGCATGAATTTCCCTTTTTTCTTCTATTTCCCCCCCCCCCCCTTTTTTTTTAAGCGACAGTGGCCATCGAACTACTGAAGTGATCCAATTGTCGCGCGACAAAAAGGATGGCCACCCGAATGTGGCGTCGAAAAAGCGAAAAACGCGCGTTGAACGAAGTTTCGAATCTTCATTAACCATGCATCGCCAAACAAGCAAGGTATCGGTCATGATTTTGCCGCGCGAAAGAGTAAAATTTTACTTGGAAATCTTCGAACCTATCTACAGAAACCAGCGCGCATTTTACCCAAGTGCAGTAACTTCGATATTCAAAGGGAAACTTGGTCACTTTTCGACAGTGGTAAGCTGCCGCACGGAGAGGACAGACGAGAGAGCTATTTCGAGGAATTAAAAGCAAAAGGACCAAATAGAGTATCGCGCCGCGTGATTACAGCAAGTTGTTGTTTTTGGTAACCACGAATACCAGCCAACTTCCCGGTTTCCCTTTGATGCCATTTTTGTCCGCTTTTCAACCATCTCGCCGCGCATTTCCCATCTTCTTCATTTTGCCCGCTAATTATTCTTTACGAGCAGCAAAATACCACGGACTCGCGGCCAAAGTTAACCATTTAATATTTGCATGAAATCCCTGTGCTATTCATAATCGCGCGACAATTTGCCGCTCAAGACGAAGCTGCAATCGAATTACCGAGCACCTTTTAAACACAAGCGATTCAATTCCGACGGGAATCTCGTGATTCGCTGTAAGATTCCTCGACAATTCCCTCTGCCTTTGGAAATATCGAACGGTGTTTCCGCAATGCTGCCGAGTTACAAAAACATTTATATTACCCATGAATTTTAACGGAACGCTAAAACGAAGCACGATAGCCGGAAGCCCTAGTAAATAAGTTTAAACAAAAGCCGCCTCGCTGCTTGTTTACATTGCCATAAGGAAAACGCGTTTCTAGTTGCAGACGGAACATAAAGTGCTGCACTCTTTGTCAATCTAATATCTCCCAACGAAATTATTCTTTACTATAGCATCGCTATGCGAACGTCCCTTCCTCTCCGCTTTTTTCTTCGCTCCCCTTTCTTTTTTTTCATATTTTTAATTACTCTCCATTAAAGTACACTGTGTCTACCCATTGCTTCGCTCCATTCACCGATATTAAGCATTTTTAATGCAATGGCTTCCTATTACACCGATAGAACCAACTAAAATCAATTTCGCCTTCCACGTCCTTTCTCTCCTGTTCATTAATTTTCCTATGTAGGCTTAAAAATATTCGAGAAATATTAATAATAGTAACTTTTAACCCGAACAATAATCCTTATCGTGGATCTAATAGTATAGCAGAAGCATTGATATAAGAAGCGGCAAATTATAAATTGCAAACGTGTAAATGCGATCAGCACAGAGTACATCGAAGTTCCGTTAACTCCGCCACTGCCTTATCGGTAATCTACCCCCGATCATGAAACGTGCGAACGTGTCGCGAATTCCACACGAGCCTTTGCGTATTGTCGTCCTTTAAAGCGACACTGACGCGTTTCGCTATAAAACTAGAGTGGTTCGTGTTTCCTAGGCGAGGTAAAGGACGCACGAAAGATCGTCGCGGAGTTACAAAAACAGGCAAGTTACTTGTGTTACTTGTGTTTCGTCGTTCAAAGAGATTTCTAAGCCTCGATCATGTTCGGCGCGGCACTTGATCCGTTTCATGTAGGACAAAGTGAAACTCACGTATCCCGAAGTTATCGTAAAGGACTTTACGACACACGCTCGTGATTTCCGCTCAATCCGGCTCGGTATTTTCGTTTCAACCCAGAAGATTTAAATCTGGGCTACGTACAAAAACAGACGAGCCTTCGTCCTTAATTTTTTAAATCCTCCAGCACAGAATTAATTTCGCTGCGCCTCAAACTCTCTTCCTTTCAGTCCCTCCATTCCTACTCTCATGACAAATCTTTTAAATCGCTGAATTTCTTCCATGGAAATTCCGTGACTAAATAACATCTTAGAAAGCCAACAAAGCTGAATTAAAGGTGAGATCCAGTGAAAGCCATCTTTGTGTATCCTCATCAGTCATTGGAAGTAACATCACCTGTGTGATGATGGTGATAAATATAAGGAATTCTAGAGACGTACTAGACATAGCATAAAAGAGTATATTACCTGTTTGTACCAGGTCGACCAGATATGGTTCACAACTGCACCACTTCGAACACCTCGACGAATTCGTTCTCAGTGAGATGCGCGGAGGGATTCAATGGTGGTCTGCCGCAGTCCTTTCTTCTCGAAGTAAGGGAGAGCAACAGCCAGGAATTGCGTGCTAATCTGACATCGACGGTGCCGCGTTTCAGCGTTACTCACCTGGAATCCGGCGCACTTTACCAGGCCTGCATATATGCATACAACGATAAAGGACGTAGCGAGGCGATGGTAGTGCAGGCTGGAACCCTCAGGCTGCCTGAAAAACAATTAACGTCTGAGTCAGGTAAGCAAACTATGCGTGTACATGATATTATTATTTTTATACCTTTTATGTTATAAATTCTTATTTTTAGAAACTTGTCAATATTTATCGTATCCCTGTGTGATCTCTGATCTAGTCTTTCCCTTCCTCTGTTGATGACTATCGTATACATTAGGGTAGTCTTCGTCGTCAAACTCTCATTTCTTTAGATCTGTAAGAAGATACATAATTTATTATGATAGACAGCCTCATTTACATTTTATTTGGACTTTGGAGGATGTTTCCTGATACTTTGAATACTTGCGGATTTACATAAAGTCCCTATAATTCCAAGTAAAATAACTGTTCATCTTTTATCCAATTAAAAAGAAAAATTCGGGATATTATTTTTTTATGGCTTGCAAGCATTATGAGGAAAAGCATAAAAATCTCGGCCAAAAATTATGCAATGGCCTAGAGCCATAAAACTCAACTACCCTCGTACGCACGAATAAATGGGTCAATTTGTGAAACGACTTTGAACCAATCTCATTGGACAATAGGACAGAACGAGGGGGATAAATTTCAATTCGCAGTCGTGACGAAATCTTTGTGCGGGAAATAATTCATCTGTCATGGTGGTAAATTATTTCATTGTCCTGTGGAATTGGTTTTTTCGCGTAACTGCGAGGATAACTTCGCATTCGTTTCAATTAATCGTCATTGTCGCTTTTGCACAGAATTGAGAAAATAAAAATTATAAAGAAATATCGATAATAAGTTTCTATCGTAAAGTCCAATTTAAACTTCACCAGCAATCAAAGAGGCAAGAAATCGCATTTCTCGTTCCCGTTTTAGAGAGACCAAGACAGAACATCAGACTAATGCCGATGCTGAGCGTTATGATCGGTGTGGTGACCGCTCTGATCATCGTTGCGGTGATAGTGATGATCGTGCTCAGAATTCAGCACACGCAGGTGGACGAGCAGAGCAAGTCTCAAATGGAGGATCACAGCAAACAAACGAAAACGATCCCCATCCAACGGGAGCTGAGGTTTCGCGAGGGAAGCAGTCTGCTCACGGATGAAAAACATCCTAGCAGTCCATTCAGGAAGTTAGAGAGCAGCGGTGACATAAGCGAAAATGACGAGAAGAATCCGGACATCATACCTCAGCAAATCACTGGTTCGTGTGGTTCTTCTTTAGCGAATGATTCAATCAGAATAATTGCGTATAAGTCGACTAAGTATCAATATGATATTTATAAGAGATTAATTGTCAAAATAGATTAATTATCTAATGTTTCATCCAAGTTTGATAATTATAAAATAATCTGTGCATTTTGTACACAGGCGACGAACCGTCCGAGTACCTGAGGAAGAGGCGACTCGTGTCGACGATCGAAACGTCGCCATCGAGAAGTTTGCTAGAGCATTCGACGGTCACTTCCGTCAGTGGTCACGGCAGTTATGTTGGCTACTGCACCATTCGCAACGGCATGCCGTTGCACGAGTTCTCGAATCTGACGACGAAACATAAAAGCGTAAGTTCAATTTGCACTAATGCGTCCTCCGATTATCTGCCATTACGTGTTCATCTCTGCTGCAACCTGATTCTAACTAGTCCATCGTGAAACTAAGTTTCTCCCAGGCATTCTAACTCTTTCCTATCTAAACGCTTATGCAATCCTCGTGTGTAAACATCGACGTAATACAACTAAACGATAACAAGGTGAAACGACTATAGCTCCATACATTCTAAATTACATTTTCTATATGAAATATTCAAAGAGCATTGATTGTCATCCATCTGTAAACTTTAGTTTCAGCCTATAGTGGGCGACGACTATCAAAGTGGCATTTGCACACTGCCGAGACAACACTGGCCAAACCAAAGCGTTCAATCGATGTCCATGACGATGAGTCCACCGATGCTGTATACCGGCCTCGGTGTCGTCAGCAGGACTTGTCCCAGCGGTACTCTTCTGACCAAGGATGTCGAGGCGAGGATTCCCGCGCAATGTTGCATACAATCGCAGAAAGATGGGAAGATAAGCACACCGATTGTGATGGCTAAAAGAGAGAGCTCTGTGTGACACTTTTGTCGCTCGCAGACCAGCTACATGTGAAGAAGCATCGCTGGACGTGTTGTTCCTCGAGTCGCGTATCAGTGCTGACACTTTGCTGGTAACAAGTACACGCGTTACGACTGAAGCCTCGTTGGAATGTAATGATGGATAATAAAAAGTTGTTTCGTGGAACGTGTTTTTGTTGCAGTAACGGGAACCGTGAGATTCTTGGTGGGATTCTTGGTAATCCTTCGATTGGTTGCAATTACAGAGAGCAAATCCTTTTGACGATTCTAGCGTTGTTAATCTTTCTCCTCCTGCTATCGTGTAATCTAAAATAAAAGATGATTAGAATAAAAATCGTGTAAGAAGAAATATGACGGAAGTTATAAACTAAATGGTGGAGAGAATTACGTGACCTTGAAAATATCAAAAGAATTGCTACCTATTATAACAGGGTACCACGAAGATCGCTATCTCGAGAGACAGGTCGGATAGATCGCGGTAATCTTCCTCGTCGATTAATAGGCGATCGAAAAAAGCACGGTCGCCTTTTGATCGATTATTCACGACAAACACCCTGTACATTCCTCGACAAAACTGTCGTTCGTGTCTAGAAACGTGCGACAGTCGCGTGTACGGAAACGATGCGAGCGAAAACGAAGCTGATACGCATAGAACCGCACGCAAATGAGAAATGAGGCCAGTTTATTTCGTACGAATTTATTTCCCCCGCCGCGATAGTATCGCATTTACGTCTCTCTGTTCGATCAAGTGCCCTTTTTACATTGAACGAACGATTCTCGAGCCACCGTGCGTGAATATATATTACAAGAAAAAGAAAAAAGACGGACGAAAAGAGAAGAAAAATGAAAGGAAAAAGAAAATAGTTGGAGATAGCCGTGCGTTGTAAAGGGCGTGCGTGTGCAACCGGGAACGAATTATTGATAGGGAATATACTTATACATATGCACGGTTTCCGCGCGTGCTGTACATATATCTTGAATACGGAGGATATTTTATACAGATTGCTATAGTATACAGATGAAATAAATTTAAAAAAAAGTTATGAAAGAGCGAAAGAGAGAGAGAGAGAGAGAGAAAGAAAGAATAAGAGAGAAAGATTTATTCCCACTTTTACTATAGAAAAAGGAAAAATAATAAAGAATGGAAAATACACACTGTACAATTCGTTTAATCGTTGTAAGTATAAATAATATATATGCGTATGAAAATCGATCGAGGCAACCAGAATAACGTACACTGAGGATGTCCTACGATGAGACGAGGTAGAAAGTTAAACAGTCAATGGGAACAAGAATTTCGTGTGTATGAATGTTCGATGTTGAGCAGTGGTGGGGAAAACGAGGACACAGAAGACATATCGTACAGCTTTCCATCATCGAAAAAAATTGAAATCAATGACGAAACGTTAAAAATGTGACGAATCGAGCGCGAGAGGGTGGAAAAAAATGTAAAAATGAGAAAAAAAGAAATACGTGAACGAACATAAAAAGATCCCCCGTTGCTTTCGTCAGTATGCAGTATTCTGGATTTTATTATAAGATTATGTATCTGTATAATGTATAAAGTAACGATTTTCCTTATGCGTAATGGTCTGGGGCCGAAACAGAAGAAGAAGGGGAAAGGAAACCGATAAATCCTCGTCTTGCTTTCGAAAACTGTATTATCGTCTGTTCCGATGTTTAATAAAAATTTCGAGTCTCTTCTATCTTTGGAGATCGTCGATGTTCCTCCACAATCTATATTCAGAAGGATAAAGGTTGTTTAATTTTCATTTAAGTCCCAAGGGTGAAAAATATTCAGCGATAAATACAGGAGCCAATTGGTTCCTGATATCCATGACATCTCAGTATTTCCCACGTTAAAAATCCTTTAAATATATTTCATAAATTTCGTAACAAAACCTTCTGACTGTAGATTGTATTATAAATAAATAAAAATATTGGAAGATACATCGCATTCTCCAGACAAGACGAATACAAGAATCGAATACTTTAAAAAAGATTAAGGAAAGTGTGTTACAAATGTGGCTTCTATTCGTGAGTCGCTGCTAGGAGTTCAAGAAAGGGAAGAGAAAATGAGTATGTATAACTTTTTTGATTGTTAAGCTCTTGAAGCAGCAGAAGCGAGAGAGAAGGAAGAGAAAGCTTTCCACTTCACTCTACAAATGACTCCACCTTTCCCTAATTAACGATAAACACATCTGTGTGCATGCGTGTATTTAAATACAACCGGAGAAAAGTGGAGAAGGAAGAGAGAAAGAAGAGGAAGAGACATGAAAAGATCTGGATACTTAATAGATAATTCGATGTAATACAGTCATAGGAAATGGCAGGCAGTGGTTTCTCACGAGTCATTCGTGTAAATATTATCGAGAATTAGACGTTCTTTCGAGTCCTCTAGATGAATGTGTTCTTTCGATCGCTAGACATTAAGTTTTATCCTCGAAGACACGGTGTCTGACTGTAATATTTAAAAAGAAGAAGATATGTCGCGCCAAAAGAGAGAGAAACGCGCGAATCTCGTTATTTATTATTGCCATTGATGGAATTGATGTCGGCGCATAGCCAGTGTACTAAGGGGAACTTTACTAATCGTTACGACACGCCTATTTCATCTTATATTAAACGTTTAACGCTGAAAGGCTGATCAAAACTACACGAACTCATTCCAACACGATAAAGGGGTGCTAGTATCGCTTCGACGACAAACGATCCGGCCCCTTAACGAGTTTCGCTAGCAGCACAATAAATCTTCGATACAAACTGCCAATAAATCTTTTCATAATTTATTCGAGTACAATTTTCTGTCATGGCATCAATGAAACGGTCTAAGCCGAACGACTTCGGTGTCGATCAATATTTAATTTCATCATCGTGTTCTATTGTAATTAAACGTGGTTCCATACCAAAGATGAATCACCATTTTTATTTATTTTTTTTTTCTTCGGAATCAACCAATATGTGTGTTCACTTCTTCGGAAAACGGGCGTTCCAAATCGATTACCAAGTCAACCAATGAATTTTTGGAGTCTCTAACAGGTAGACCTGCGTGAGGTGCGCCTATGTTTCGTCGAATCGACACTTTTACGATCATCTTTCTCGAACTCATTGTCAGTGTTGAACATCAAGTCGCGAGGTGCTGGCCAGATGGTATCTGCAACATAATAAATGTAAACGTTAAAAGCGTCCCCTTGATCTTACGTAAAGCAACTCTTTTAGTGCAGAATCATTTGGTCAGAATGCGAAACATCTTGTGGTCTTTTTATGTGTAAATTATATAAATTATCGAAACTCGTTGGAAATGTAGGTTCCTCGAAGTGACTAAATAATCATTTAATTCGTTATTTATATGTAACAAAGATTTGTTTTTATTTCTAGAAATTGGAAAATGATAAAAATAAATATTCGCGCTATAATATACAGTTTTCTTGTTAATTTACACTTAACTGTGTGTTATACAGAATGGGAAATAATTCGACTGGTAATAAAATCTGATGAAAAGTGATATCTCGAACAAACATTGATCGAAGGTACCGAATACAGATTGTTTATATAAGACGAATTTTCGAGAAAATCGATTGTAAAAATTCTAATGCATACGCACTTAATGACATTTTATTTTTTTTTAAACTCAAATTAGCCATAAAAATTTTTTATTTCAAAAGTTTGTACGAAGTATTACCTTCCTATCTAAACCACGAATCAGATCCCATTTTGCATGAATGAAGAGAGTGTTAGTGATTTAAGAGATGTTATATTACACGTTGAATGTTACTTTATACCTGTTAAAATGGTATACCCCATTCGAGATAACAAACTCATGAATCATTTATCAATTCATATATAAAAAATCTATTGCGTTCAAGAATCTTCATTGAAATTCGCGCGACGACCACAAAATATCCAATAATACCGACCAGCGTTTGCACACCAATTTGCTTCGTTACTATGTATCTTACAGTAGCCAGGGATAAGAGCCAAAGAAATCTTTTTAGACTAATAAGAGTACATGGAAGCACCGTTTCAACCATATACCGCCTGTACATCTTTAACGATCGAGTCTGACCAGCTGCTTTCGCGAAAGGAAACCAAAAAAAAAAAAACCATTTGAATGAAGTTTGTATATGTAATTAGTTTAGCGATATCCGACACAAATTTCATGTACCCCATAAAAAGAGACGTTTTTTTGATATTGTAAATACTCTGAAATAAATAATCGTTTTTATTCAAATGCTGTTTCTTATTTTTTTTTAAGAGAAAAGATAAATTATTATTATGATCTAGTTCGAAGGTATTACATCAGAATTACTTGGAGTTATTTATTATTACGTAATATCTAATAAGTAATATTAAGTAATGTTATGATTACCTGAATATAAATTAATGAACGGAACTGAGGATGATATCTTCAAATACTCTTCAATGCTTAGAAGGACAGGACTTTCTGCATTCAATAAATATTCTAACAATGTACTTTCGGGATAAAGTCGCGTAATCTGGTCATTCATTGTCTTGACGACTTCGTTCATTGGAACTGACTATTTAAAAAACAATATTCAATTTTAAAACCAATTAATTAACAATGAACTTCATCCATCAACCTATGGAAATAATGAAGTCTATTTATCAATTCATTAATAGAACTTACATTATCGCAAACAATATTCGAAATATAATCACATAATATATATATTTTATTGAAACAATTTAACATTTGTTGTTGAATGTCATCCAATTCGTACGATTTTAATTGTTGTATCAAAATGGGTGGCACTACGTAGACATGGAACCATCTCGTAAAAAATCTCTGTAAATTCCAGTTAAAAAATATTAATTTTTTCTTTTTATATTCATCATATGGAAATTGTGATAGACACTCACCTGATGGACATTGTGATAAGTTGGAAGAAAAATTGCTTTCCCTATTTTACAATCTTCGCTATCGTTATCATTCAAGGCTTCGAAATGCCTATAAATTATATTTTCCGATGCCTACATTAAAAAAATTAATTTCTTTTTTTCATGATATTGTTAAAATAAATATTTATAATTAAATTCAAGTTTTAAAATCTAAAAGTTTTAAAAATTGCAGTTTTATTTGAGCACCTCTAATATATGCACATAATATTCCGGATAAACAAGAAGTAATCCACTGATGATAATATTGGTATGATCTTCTTGCAAACCTTGTATTATAGATTCCATTTTCTGAAAATTATATTTTTTATGAAAATAAAAAAAATATTATTCCAGGATTTTTTTAAGTAATTATTTCGACCTTTTCTGTAATTAATGTTTATTTTGTAACTTACACTGACTCTTCTAAGACTATACCTTTTCTATGGTAGAATGTATACCAATATATCCTCCAATATACACAATGCGCGTTACGTATGTAATCTGCAAATAACTCATCCTCGTATATTAAAATGAATAAATTCAAAAATTTAAAGCAATAAGGATAGATGGCGCTTCGATACAAATTAATAATTCCCAACCAATGAAAATATGAAGTTTATTTATTTACAAAATTGAATAGTTACTTCAATAAAAAATCCTGAACTATTACAGTGATATCGTAACACATAATAAATGAATTGAGGAAATGATAATCAAATTGAATTGGATTCTTACCTTACCAGCAGCATGAAAATTTTTTCTAATTATATCGAGCATGCTTTGTCGTACAGGCTCGACTACATGTTTCATGATGTACAAAGTTTTAAACGAATTTCTTCACAATGTAATTTTACAGCACAATAAAATAAAATCTAATTTTCAGATGCTTTACACATTAATGACTATGAAACAATTTTTAATCAATAAAATTCCCGCGCACACACTCATCCGACGAAAAACCTATCAAATACTTCGAGGTCAATTGACGGATGTGCGCAATTGCTACGGTAATCGTTTAATTATAAATAAATTGTTATCCTTCAACACTACTATATTATTAAAAAATTTTGTTTAAAATATTATAGCAATTGATAAAATAATGATTTTCTATATATTATTATTAGACATTAGAGCAACTATCATTTTTCAAACTGTAACTTTCAATTTGATTAATCATGTCCTTCCGCTTTAAAAGTTCAATCTTATTTGAAATAAAGTATTTGTTACTTATATTTCGTATGAAAATGATATAAACGCTCTTTTCTTGAGTATATTTTATTTTAATTAAATACAAATAGATTGTATAATAATAAAGAGTAATATACATAAAATTACGATTCGCTAAAATCAGTCAAAATAAGAAGTGTATAAGTTAATTCTATATATATGTACAAAACACTGGATAGTGCTAACAATGATATTTATGCACAATTAACTATTGCTGCTTATTATCACATCATTATGATTGCGGTAAATATATGTCTAGAAAAATTTTATTTTTATATATTCTTGTTTAAATAAAAATACTGTTCTCAAGTGCATAAAACGCAGCTCATATCTTTTGAATTAATTTTTTAATTCAGCAAACATAGAAGTAAAAAATTATTTGCCATAATATTTTTTAATATTACCAGAAACTGAACAGTTGTGTTACTTTTTAGCCTTAGGGCACTCTAAAATTGGCGGTGGAGGTGGTGTTGATTCACTAGGATTTCCCAACCATACAGATTTACTGAAGCGACCCTTTATAACAGGTGCCTGCCACTTATTGCTGCACATAACTGTAACTGTAGGCTTCTCTGCAGTAATAGTTGCTATAGTTACTGCTCTGAAAATGAAATAAAATTCATTTAGACAGTGATAAATTGCATGATAGTCATTATGTACAATCAATTAAGTATTACAAAAACGCGATAAATCTTGACTAAAATAACAATAAAAGACTTACTGTAACATGATCTATTATTACCAAAAAAATAAAGAAGCTTTTATCACTAATCAATTTATTTTCATTTATAAGTTATTCAATAATTTAAGGTAGGTAAAAATAAAAAGGTGTATTGTAATGTACATTCAGCATTTATTAATTAAAAAAATGCATTACAAATTGAATGAAATATATGTTTTTGTAAAATATTTTTTGAAGTGTGTATTCAAACGTACATACATAATAATTCAACATTTACAATAATTTTAACGCTGAGCAAAAATATATATGCAATTTAAGCAATTAACACACCTAAAATTTATTATTTAATAGATTTTCTTATATAACAAGATATAAAATATTTTTAATTAATAATCTCTTCAACAACATTTTCCTAATTAATTCCACCTAGCAAGTAGTAAAATACCAACCAAGATATTCTTTTTCTCAAATAGAAATTGTTTAAAGTGAATATGAATAAACAATAAATTTATCATGTTATCAAAGTTATTAAACAATTTTACATTAAGGTATGATTTATTAAAAGCGTTTTTAATGCAACATACACTTTATACTTATCTTATTTAACAAAAAGATACAAATTACTAAAACAATAATGTGCAGTACTACAAAATTATAATTAATATAAATTGATCTGCCTACTAAAAATAAATGATGCATAATTTTGTTAAAAAAATAAGAATAATCAATGGCTTTGTTGCATAAATATAAATCCAATATTTTCCGCACAAAAGTATATCCTTTGTATGAAATAAACAATATGAAACGACTAAATATACTAAAAAATAAATCATTTTTTCTAATGCCAAGGCACTTGGTTTGGATGACTGATGGAACCCAATTTGTAGTACCTTGTTGTAGAAGATGTTTGTTGTATTCCTGTTGAATGATTAGGTGGTGTTGCTACTGTAGAAGTTTCAGCACTTTGAGCAGAAGTGCCATCACCTTTCAAAACAGCAACACATTTCCAATTGTTAATGTAATTATCTTTCCATAATCGAACACAACCATCATCTCCTGAACTTGCTAAAATAGTTCCCATAATGTTCCAACATACTCGCCATACAGTAAAGTCATGATCAGAGAATTGTGCTGCTATGCTGATTTCAAATCGTGATTGACCACTTTGTGCAGAATCCCTATATCAACAGTATTTTCATATAGTTTTCTATACACTCGATATTTGTATAAATTTTAAAATTTATACTCACAACAAAGGTTTCAATGTAATTATTTGTACATCTTTTGATGCAATAGCCAATGTATGAAAACTTCTACCTAAATTTGGAGCAAATGCAATATCATGAATAGGATCAACAATATTTAATGTTTGTGTTTTTGTCCATCTTCTACTGCTCTCAGAATATTCATATATAAAAACTTTTCCTTCAGATGATGGATTTGCATCATCACTTCCAACTGCTATCATTGGAGGATGTAACCTAATTTTAATTAATTGATGAAACATTCAATTATTATATTTATAATACACATAATATAAGCTTAATAAATAATTAATTAGACCTTGAAAGAGATGGATTCCATGAAAGACAACTACATTGAAGTTTACAACTAATGTCATGTTGCAGAGTCCACTGACTTAGATTCATAACATCAGGAGCTTCATATATTCTAATTACTCCATCTTCACTACAAGTAGCTAATAAAAGTCCCAAAGTTTTAGGTGCAAATTTTACATCTGTAACAGACTTTCTAGAATCTACTAAGTTTGTTCTTCTAACCCAATGTCTCATGCCACGCTCTCCTGGTCCTGATCCTTCTCCAACTACAGATAAATATTGATAATATAATTATGAAACATCTAATTATATTATAAATTGAAATTGCATTTTATTAATATTTTTACCTATCTCTTCCCATACAGCTGCTGTTCTATCAAATGAACATGTTGCCAAAACTTGGCCAAATTCTGGATGTGCCCATGTTACTTTCCACACAGACCCACTGTGTGCTTTCCAAGAAGCAGTTAAATGCCAATTTCCATGTTCATCCTCATCCCAGACCTATGTAAATTTTATTACCTTCACATATAACTAAGAATAACATTTTGTGATATAAATATAGATATCAAATGAGATCTTACTTTTACAAATTGATCACTAGAACATGTTGCCATTCGTTGTCCATAAAAATCATATGCAATATCATGAATTAAATCTTTATGCTCAGCATTAATACTGTGTGCTTCAAACATCTTTGATATGTTTTAATATTACAAAATCAAATAAAATTGAGTAAATAATTTTGCGTCTCTAACTATATGTACGTAAAGGTTAGAAAATGAAATTCAAAAATTTTTCTAGGAAATTGGCTAAATGGCAAAATATCGGAAAATTAAATTTTTATAGTTTAGTATACAAAGCGAATATTACAATTAAAAAACACTTATTTCTCCCAATATTTACTTTGTACTTTTATATCAGAAAGGAGGGAAACCACTGTTATAATACACTATTATTACTAACATTCTTTACAATCACTTTAATAATGCAAGTAAAATATGTATTCAAAATCATTCGATTAAATCATTAATATTAAATTAATAAAAAAACTTCCCTCTTTATTTTCTAAACTTTGTATTATCGGTATATTATTTGAATGCATTTCAGTGAACCGGTGCATTTAAAGCACATTGTCACTAGCTACAGCGAATCAACAATATTGTTGTCGTTTGATATATATACTATTGCTATATTTATGAATATCTAATAATTTATTATATATATCCTTTACAATAAAAAACATAATAATACTTCATCATTTTCTAGATTTATTCTATTCTTATAAGAAATATAGTAATTGCATAAATATAACATACATATTGTATTACTAGTTATATTTAACTCCCTTTAGTAATATCATTAATTAAAAATACAAATAGATCATAATACATATACTTTTTTATTAATACATTTGTAAATATTGAATAGTTATATCTTTAGTAATTTTTTATTATTTTATAATTTTATTTCAGAACAACAAACAAAACTTCCGGAAGGTTCTATAAACAGCAAAAGATTACTTCATGACAGATTGTTCTTGAGTTGTAGTGCGTTACGTGTCAAACCACGTATACTATTTGATATATTAACTTGTTTACTACAAAGTAATCACTTAAGGTAATTGTACCTTTTGCAATTAATTAATATTTTAAATATTTTTTTATATAACTTTAAATTTTTTTAAATTAAAGGGTTTAACCGGTACATTAATCTTGTAATATTTCAGATGATCACAGATGTAGAATTGGCTGTATTTTGCAATATTCTTGGGGCGGTATTATTTTGTTTAGTATTTCTTTTCCATTACATATACGCAAATTATTCAAAATAAAGGAATAACATATTGTTCCTGTACATAACCTCAACCTACATCATCAAATACTGACACATGTGCAAATGGAATGTACATCTATATATTATATTTAATAGATAAACATGATTACATAAAATAAAAGATTTTATGTTGATAAATACACTCTTCATGGAATAAACATATTTTTATCTTTCTTACTCCTTACATACACAGTGAAATATATGTGAATCACAAAATAAACATTAAAATAAAATTAATTAATATAATATACATAAATAATTAATGTATCTATATAAGATACCTGATATTATTAATTTTAATTGAGATTTAAATTCACTTATATAAAATAAGTAATTTAAAATGGATTATACATATAGATTAGTTCCTATCTTCAGACTGTTTCAAGAAACAAAGTTGGTTGCTTGTAACTCATAATTGTACATAGTCGATGCATTATGTCTTTTGCATATATAGCTGCATATAGAACATTTACAATATAGTTTTGGTCTTTTGACGTATAAATTTAGAAAAATTAATCAGCAATGACTGACGATTCCAATGGAGAATCCACATTTGAATTTGTCGAAAGAAAAACTGACGAATCATCCACATCTGGAGAAATCGTAAAAACAGGTAAGAATATAAGACAAAACATAAACACCTGCGTATCTGTCAAATTTCTTTCCAATTAAAAAGTTTGCGTTCATTCTAATTGACTTCTATTTTTTTTTTGCATAACACAAAAGATTTTAAAAGTAAATTGTAGAAAATTAATTTTTGAAAAAGTTAAAGTATTTAAGAAGGTCATAATAAATTTAAATATGTACATTGTGATATAAAACATTCACTGACGTATTATTTAAACAAGAAATAAATTTTATCTTATCAAAAAGAAATTAGTAATATTCAGGACTGCAGCACACCACTACTGTAATGTGTCTCTTGTATAAATAACAATAACATAATTTTCAGATTCTTTTAGCAGTTTATCTTCATCAGCATCTTTATTAATGCCATTAGGCATATCAACATCAACAGGAAATTTATTATCAAATGTAGCTCCACCTAGTGCATTACCTAGCTTTATTTCAAATCCTGGAACATTATTATCAGAGAGGCCTAATAATTTGGAACCACCTACACAAAAGAAATCTCATGAAGATGAACCTACTAAATCAATATTAAATACCATTATTCAGAATAAACCGGTACAGCAAGAAACACATCAAGTAATTACAACTACTATTGTTACTCCGTCCATACAAAATGTACAAAGTACAGTCCCAATAGAAACTATAGTCCAGGATTCGGGAATAGTTGGAGGTGGTCTATTGTCATGGGTTAAAGAAACAGTAGTAAACAGTAATGTTTTGAGCAAAGTTGCAGAAAAAGCAAAAAACAGTGTTAATACTATGATTACAACATTAGATCCTCAGATGCGTGAGATCATCTGTAAGTAAAAAAACTATTGAACATACAAGTAAACTTTTTCTTTTTTGTATATTTATCAATTTTGTTAACATATTGCTTTATTAAATTTCTCTTTAAATATGTATCATTGTGTGTGTAATTATGTTATTGCATCATATCTAAAAGGAACATATATATGTAACGTGTTATTTTTGGATGAACTACAAGCCAAACTTAATTCAGTGAACTGTGCTGTACACTGTGTAACTGTCAATATTTTTTCATTCTCTTTTTACTTAATTTATTAAGCTTAATTTATAATTTAAAATATGACATTTGTACATATATAATAGTAATGAAGCCATATATGAAATAATTTCACAATTTGCATTGCAAATAAAAACAATGATAATTTAAGGTTGTAATTTAAGTAGGTTTACAACTAAAATTTTTCTTCAATTATGTACACATTGGTGCATAGTGTTACGAAGAAATAGTTGTTTCAAAAAAATTTATTATCATATAAAATAATATATTTTGTATGATCATATTATAATAAAATGGCAACCAAAATTTGAAGAACAATGCATAGATTCCACACTATTTATATGTGAATCTATTTAACAATATAGTAACAGTACAACATGTTAATTAATGTACAAACGTATATACAGGCTCTGTGGAAAATGTACATTTCAGATTCTGGAGGTGATATGGAAATCATAGTTGCATCAGATAAAGATGTTACAATAAGTTCTGTGCGTCAGGCCTTTCAAACTGTTTTTGGAAAAGCAACAGTAGCGTGAGTAATAATTATAAATTTATTTAATTCTGTATTATTATATTTTCGTTTAATTTGCTGACTTTTTTACAGTGGTGTGTCAGTAAAAAGTTCAGCAATAGCTATTCAACCAGTTGGTTTTGCTGCTGGTGTGAAAGGGGCAGAAGAAAGAATTAATTCTGCACGTAATATTGCAACTCTTCCAAAAGATATACCTATAATAGCAGTGGAAAATTTTTTGTTGGAAGTTGGTGAAGATAAGTGGTATGATTTAGGAGTAATACTTCTTAATGATCCCAAACGTAATGTTAATTTACAAACATTTACTCAAATGACTCCTGTACCAAGTCAAATAGTAACAATGGCACAAGAAGCTACACCTGAAGATTATCCTCTTAAATGGTCTGGTTTATCAGTTACTGTTGGTAGTTTAATGGCAAACAGTTTACAGGTTGGTATCTAAGAAGTTATCACGATAATTTTATAATATGAATTGCACAAAAAATATATTTCTAAAGGTTCCTCACAATGAATGGCACCATGCACTCACTGGAATTTCAAGAAGAGACATTATACTTTTAGCTGTTCAATCATTAGCTGGAATCTACAAGAATACAATTAATCCTATCTAAATTTTTATGAACAATACAGTGATACAATTTATTGACAAATTACGTTTTTGTAAATACAATTACAATAATTTATAGTATTTTTGAATTAGTTTTCAAAATTTATTTTTTAGGCTTTTACTCTTATCATGTATCTAACATCTTATCAAATTATTGAAACAAAATTTCAATTTTAATTAATGTGAAATACTTATTAAATTAGTATTTATAAATTATAAAGAATGTATTTTAATTATATATATATGATGTGTACAAAAAATCAATGGAATCAAGGTAAAATATATCAAAAGGTTTGGTATATTGAATGTGATTAATTTATCACATATCAATCATTAATATTAAATTTACTAACGTGATAGTATATTTTGTTATTAAAATAAAAAGGTTCATAATTTACATACAATCTTATGTTTTTACTTATTATCCTATCCAATTTCAAAATGGTTAGGTATTTTTAACGAAAGCAGTAAAAGACACATATAGTTTTGTAATTTCATCTTTAATTTCTTGATGTATTCGTTTCAATATGAGTACATTGCTGTCGTAGATTTTCTGTTATCAGTAACTTCAAAATTCGTCCAATTGTTTGAGAATACCAACAGAAACAGTAAAATTAACTGTAGTAAAAAAGCAATGTAAAAAATGACAATTTTTTGTTTCCATTCTTTTTATATGAAATTGGTAATAAGTTACCACCACAATAAAAATAACAATTGAATCTGATGCTGATATGCTAAAAACATAAAGCCACTAGGATCTTAATAATGTGGCATGCTTAATTAAATAAATGTATAAAATATTTCTCCTTGCGCTAACATGCGTACTTTCCATTATAATTACAATTTATTTTTTTTTTCATATTTATAATCATGTATTTCTCGCAGTTCTTTGCACAAAACAAAGTTCATAATAAACCGATGTAGATTGTATACGGTTCGAGCGATATTAATTGAATTACAATATTTAAATAGATATTTAAATATGGTGCGCGAATCTATGGTTACAATTTGTCAAGGTATGCACTCAAATCTGGGAGACCTCCCCTCAATCCTTTTCTTTTACGTGTTTCCTATAGAAATAAGGATAATTATATTTAATAATGATTAAATATATATATACATACTGCATAAAGAAAGGAAAATATAAATTTGTATGTTTCCCTATTCAAGTAAACCAGAATATTATGCTGGAATACTAAACAAAAAACAGTTCCTTTCCCACGAGATTAAAAATGATAATGTATATACATTTACCCATTACCATCAGTTATGATCGTGGATATACATTAATTTTAGAATAAAAATTACCTGCACAACTTGATAAGGTCTAGAAGTAGGTTCCATTGGATCACCGGGTAAAATTTGCCAGTGGTCGAATACACACTGTGGGAAAGCCTGTCCTCCGGTATTAGAACGCAAGTCGGCAGTAAAACCGAAGGACTCATTGACTGGAAGATATGCTTTAACTACGAACATAGGTGTACCAGCAATCTGTTGCTCTTCAAATACATGACCTCTTCTTCGATTAAGCACACCATAGATACCACCGACGGCTGTTTCAGGGCACTAAAGAAATTTTATATTATTAAAATATAAGAAACTAACATACTAATTACGAATTATTTAATAAGTTCCAAAATGAAATTTACTTGAATTTCGCATAAGTAAACTGGTTCCATAAGTCGTGGAGAGGCAGTGAGAAGACAAGCATAAAGACAACGTCTTGTGGTAGGAATAATTTGACCACCACCTCTATGAATAGCGTCAGCATGTAACGTCACATCGTGAATATTGAAGCGTACACCTCTTAAATTTTCTTCCGAAAGAACACCCTATAAAATAGGATAATATAAATATAATTAATATAAATAAAAAATGGTTTTGAATATTCTTTCTTTTCTATAATATTGTACCTCTTTCGTGGCCCATTGGAATCCAGCTACAACAGAATCTTTAACTTCATTAAGATATTGTACTCCTTTCGTACAATCTACGAGGATATTGGGTCCAGTTCCATCGGGTCCAAAGCACCAAATCTTTCTAGCTTCGGTTACATCGTAATCGTACTTTTCATTCAAATAACGAGCACGTATTTTGAAGTCATCCCTTGGATTAACATCGCCCTATAAAGTTATAAAGGTTAAATAGAAATAAAATAAGAATATTAATCATAATTTTATAGAAGATTATATATGTACACTATCAATATCTTCAGCAAGACCATCAGGCATAGGACACGCCATCATGAACAAACGATTATGTTTATTAGGTGATTTAGAAAGACACATTTGATTCGATTGTTCCGAAATTGTTTCTCTGTATGAAACAACTGGATCCGATTTCTTAATAGGTATACAAGCATGATCTTCTTCTAAATCCTTCAAACAAATTTCAAGGTGAAGTTCTCCAGCACCAGCAATAATGTGTTCCCCTGATTCTTCGATTATACATTGTACCATAGGATCTGACTTTGCCAAACGTTTAAGACCTGAATAAAATCACCTTGTTAACAAAATATTAATACTTTCATCGAATATAGTTTAAATAATAATCAGTTTCAGATTTGTAACTAAAATCATGGTCGGTCAGAACCCAATGCTCTAAAATATGATATCATCCTAACATGAACATCAAACTGCAGCAAATTATAGAAAGTAAATGTACCTTCGACTAATTTGGGTAAATCAGCTGGATTTTTGGGTTCAACAGCAACACGAACGACAGGTGAAACAGAGAATTTCATAACTTTCATGTTGTGTGCATCCTTAAACGTGGTAATAGTACCAGTCTTTACTAAGAATTGATCAACACCAACAAGTCCGCAAATATTACCTGTTTTAAATTATAAAATACCTTGTAATTATATATATATATATGTACATAGAATTAAATATTTTAATGTTATTAGTTTAAATGTCAGTTGGCCGTTCTATTGTCGTTCAAAAGATATCAGAACAGGTCTGTGAGAACAATCATCATTGTATTATTTAACTTTTAAATTTAAATTAAAATTTAGGCTCAAAAATATAGAGTAGTACTGATGATTTACTAACCAGAAGGCACATCTTCAATTGCTTCAACGTAACGACCCATCATCAAAATCGTACGCTGGATAGCTTTCTCATAAAGATCTTCTTTCTTACCCGGTTGGAAGTTAGGTCCCATGATACGCGCTTTCATTCCAGTACTTACTTTTCCAGAAAATACACGACCAAATGCATAGAAGCGACCCTTATCAGAAGTCGGTACCATTTTTGAAATGTACATCATAAGTGGTCCATTTGGATCACAATTCTGTAAAATAGTGTTCCAATTAAGTATAAACTCAGTAAATTGAATTCACAAAATAAGAGTTTATATTAATTAAATAATACACATTTATCATATACAATTCAGAACAAATTTGTCAAATAAGCTCATGAGACAAAATAAATATAATATCTTTTATTTTAAAAATATTGTAAACATACATACTTTGATACCAATTGCAGCCTCGTCATCAAGGGGGCCTTCGTATAACATTTCCATACGATATTTCTGAGCTGTAACAGGAGATGGCAAGTGAATAGCAATCATCTGAAGTAAAGCTTCTCCAGCTGGCAACCAAGTTCTCATGACAACCTAAAATGTAAAATCATACTAAAGTAAAATCACATATAACTATTTAATTAATTATTTAAAACTAAAATATTATCAGATAAAGCGCATATAATCGATCAAAGAAATTCAGTAGAGGTGTCAGAAAAAATTTAAAGCAATCATCATAAATATCCCCCCCCCTCCCCCCCTCCAAAGAGTAATAAAAAGAAGGCAAGTTAAACTGATAGTTCAGAAAAAGTATTACCTTAAGAAGAGCTTTGCCATCTTTATCTTTATCTTCTGGTTTTAAAACTATTCCTAATTTTTGGAGCAGGTTGTCTGCTTCTTCTTTTTTGTAATTCATAATACTATCAAATACCTATTGATTAATATATCAATGTTAATAAAAGAAATCTGAGTTTTATTATTATAACTAGTTTACAGTTAACACACCTTATAAATTGGATCTAAAACGTACATACAGAAGGATCTTTTGTTATCTGTTTCCTTCTGTTTACTCCACTTCTTAGTTTTAGGATTAAAGAATGATTCTCCCCATAGTCTATTCATAAGTTTCACAACATCAATTTTGAATTTCTCAGCATACATTTCAGAGAATTGTTTTAATGTAAATGCCCAACCATGAAGACCAGAACCAAAACCAACTGAACCTTTGCTAGGATCTACCTATTTATGATAAATATACATGTGTAATATTAAAACATTACTCTATAGGAATAAAGATAACTTTACTTACTCTAACTTCACCCATGGGACCATCATCGTCTGAATATGTCGCTATAATAACGTTAACGTTTTCGACAATACGTTGGAAAGTTTGGTAAAGATCTTCACTATCAAGTTGAAGTTCTAAAAGTGCTCTGTCCATTTTGTTCATGAATAGTACTGGTTTTATACGCTCAGCAATAGCTTGGCGAAGTACAGTTTCTGTCTGTACACATACACCTTAAGAAAATTACAAGAAAATTATGATTCAAAGTATCAGGGATAAAAAGGGAAAATAAAATTATAGTATAAAACTGTAGCAATTGTGTCGTAGCGTATTAGTCTAGGACATAAAGATAGAGGTCCACTAACAGCGTTTAAACACAGCTGCTATCATTTTAATCTCCTTCCATTAATGCACCATCAACACGGTCTATGTATATCAGTCAGTCATTAAACAAACTGATATACTACAGAGTAACGCTTTTTGTGCTGGAAGGAATATTAGTTTAACTCAAATAGTTAGTATTTAAAATACATACCAGACACACAATCAACAACTACAAGGGCTCCATCAGTTACACGAAGCGCAGCAGTTACTTCACTGGAGAAGTCAACATGACCAGGCGAATCAATAAGATTGATCAAGAAACCTTTTTCGTCTTTATCACGCTGATCAGGATTTCTAATGAAAACTAAATCTTTCTCCTCAAGTGCAAAGAACATAGAAATAGCACTATAATAAAATTGAAAATATTATTTATAGAAAGACAACTAAAATTAACAATTGATAAAAATGAATAAACTTACGTAGATTTAATAGTAATACAACGTTCTTGTTCATCCTTGCGGGTATCAGTGAATCTAGTCTCACCAGCTTTAGCACCAGCAATAATACCGGCCTTGGACACAAGGGAGTCAGTCAAAGTTGACTTTCCATGATCAACATGTGCAATAACGGACATATTTCTGATATTTTTCTTTTTGTCCATCATGGCACGTATCTCGTCCACTGTGAAGTTCACCTGTAACCAATAAAAAAAATTTGATTATTACAAAATATACATATACATACATACATACATATATATATATATATATATATAGAAAAATATATATATATCTTGTATATAGATTGAAATATTGATTGAACTGATTATAACATAAAATAATATTAAGCATTTAGCAAATTAATTTTAAATTTATAATGTTAAATGTACTGCTTTTTAATGTGTTTTCAATACTGCTCTAAAATGTGGAATATAGAACTTGAAAGAAATGATCTTCATACTGACCATATTGAATTCAAAGCTTGACAAATCTTGACAAATATAATCAACATATATATGTTATTATTTACACTAAAGAGAAATATATTCTTGTGTGGACACTTTTAGTTGAACAGCTTTTTATATTAGAGTAATTCCTGACCCTAAAGTGTTACAATATCCTCACTTTCTATATGCAGTGTGCAAGATATTCGACATGTTTCTCTGTACAATGACGATCGAGGATGTTTTCGTAAGGTTTCCAATTCACCAGAAACCGTCGAGAATTTTTCTTGAAGACTCACGATGTTCCGAGAGCATGCTGATTCGTATCAAGAGCCTTACAAAACTCCATGACACGTTGCCTCTTGAACAAGAGACGAAACATATTTGAACTTCGAACATAGATAACTTTGAACCTTTGTGTCGGAAAATTTTCAGGAATGTTTCGCCAGAATTTTTGTAGAACCTTCCGAGATTTTAGCCCCGGCATATCCATCGCGAGCCTCAAAATTTGTCTTCAAAGAGAGTTGCGCAATCCCAAGTAATCCGCCAGTTTTCAATTTTTCCAAACCCAGGTGACATTCGGTCTTCAAAAATATTCATACCTCTGCACTCCACACATCGTACAGATTTACACGTACGTGATATTCTATAAAGATTGTACATACCATTTTGGATGTTGTCCGATTTCCGTTGGCCTGGTCAGAACTATACGTGCACCAACAATGGCGGACTCCCTGGGAAAGAACAGGAGTTCTGTGAAAGGGACGAGCGTTTTGTATTCGATAGAGGGCACCCCTTGTCACGCGTATTTCGTGTCGTACACAGGGCCAATTGGAATTTTGTAATCCCTACCACGTGGCTTAATTTGCGCACGCAGCTTACAACCGATCGTATATGAGTTTAAATGCAATCCGTTAATCTGTAGTAGTTCATATAACAGCAATAGCTGTTTGGTGCTGCCACCTGACAGTTTAAATTAAGATTTAAGTAACATTCATAATAAAACTTTCAGTTTTAATTCAGTCTTTTTCATTTGTTGCAAATATTAAAATAAAATAATTTTATTAAAAATTACAAAACATTTCCATATGAAAGGGAAAGGAAGGACGAAAGGGGTATGTATAAAAGAAGATATAGTTCAAAGGTTACGAAAAGAACGTCACTTAGATATGAATATATTTATCACTGAATATTATATCCTTATTTTCTCTTACACGTTGTAATCGTATAAAATACTGCATTGATTCAATAAGGAAAATGATACGAGGTATCTATCACATTAAATGTAGACCAATATACAAAAGACATATTAATTACATATGTACTAAGAAAATAGTAACGATTGTGCATTTTCTTGTATAATAGTTCTACATAGAAACGTTAATGCCAGTGCAGTGTACATCGATACATATTATCGATTATCTATTACATCGATACACTACATATCAATACTCTACATTGATATAGTAGATAAAAGTGTTGCATTCTCGTAAAGATTAAATAATATTTTTACTATTAGTTTTTTAATTTTATCCATATTTTCATATTGATACTTATAAATTAAAAAATTATATATAAAATTCATCTACAGCCAATTGAAATGTAACGTACTCAACACAAAAAAAAAAAATTATAAAATCGACTTTATTATTATTCAGTGTATTTATGTGTATTTATTTTTTATGAAATATTAAATCATTACTATTTTTCCAAAAACAAAAGCGCGTTATTATTTACAGTTCAAAATAATTAGATCATTTATCTACAACTTCATTAGTTAATAAAATACTCCAGTTTTAGTTCAATAAACATTGATGAAATTTTTATCGAAATAAAGTTGTAGCTGTAAATCTTCTAATTATTTTATACTGCACATATTATTTAGCGACTACCCTTGCAGCTTCGTTCATGAACGCTTACACGATCAGGATTGAAAGTCCTTCCACATCGTTTACATGGGATCAATTGTAGTAAATGAGTTTTCCAACTGGCCTCTGCCATTGCATCTATATCAACTATCATATTCCCAGTTTCTGAGTCACCTGTGTGTAAATTACTTTCATAAATATTTCGACCCTTGATTAATAAAAAAAAGTTCATAAGCTAAAAACAATGTATAATAAATCGTTACGTTCTTTATTGCTTATATGTGCACTTGAAAGGGTATTATTCTTCTATTATAACTTAAGCCTTCATCTTGCTCAATGTAATAAAGATTATTTGCGGCATTTGATAAAGCTCGACTTTATAACTTCCGGTTTGTAACTATGCCTGCCTCTAATCAATATAATTACACTGACCTTAAGTTCATTGGTAGCATGCAACTGATATTTACCTTTCTCGCACAATGATCTCATTGATTATTCAAGACCAATGTAAAGATTACAGATTCGATATAAATTAAAAGTGGAAAATGGGAAAACCATGCACCAGTTTTCCGAATAAAAGAGTTTCTGTTCAATCAGTCATCGTGGTTGTTCGACTCGTGACATCAATTAAGATTAAAATCGACGTGAGTATTAGAATATTTCGTGCTAATTTAAGTAACTTCGTATAATAAATAAATAAAGCTACAAAACCGTATAAAAAAATTTACTTACAAGTGTAGATAATTTCAGGTTTCTCTGGCTCCTTTCTCCTCTGATCTAATGGTAATCTCTCGTTCTCCACGTGCCACTTCTTCAAACATTGCGGCTCATGAATAGCTATGCTAGTCGATCCGAAATCTCTGCCACATATGTAACATGTGACTGTCTTCTTCTGCGCATTATCCTAAAATCAATTTTCTCCAAGTAACTATTTTATCGATTATCTTTATTAATTAATAACACTCAAGCGTAAAATGACATAATTTTATTTGTAATAAACAGTATCAAAAATGTATACATAAAATTTAACGTGTACAACTGGTTATTTTGTGGATGATCGCGTGGGAACGCTTATGCAAATTGGATAATATAAGCATGCCTTCCAACACGACTCACCCCCGTTGGGCTGCTTAGATTTTTCTGCACTAACGCCATGTCTGAATTCTGTTGTCGACTCGGTTCTTTCCTTCGAGAATTCGACGACTGCTTATCTTTCTCTGCTTGCATTCGCTTGATACATTGAGGCTCATGTATCTTTATACTTTTTGTACCATAGTTTCTGCCACAAGATTGACAAGTAACCATAGGTGGTCCTACTCTCGATGTACTGGCGCTTTTTTCCCCAAGAAGACTTCCTGGTTTCTCAGACTCGGAATTCTACAGGTTAAAAAATTGTAATAAATAGTTGACATACTATTTGAACAAAAGATTGTAAAATTAAACAGATATTTTCACCTTTGTAGGAGCCTTACAGCTTCTCTGATGCACCGTCAATCGTTCCGGTAGAAACGTTCTTCCGCATTTCGAGCAAGGAACTAATTGTGCCTGGAAGTATACAATTTGCTGGTATTACTTCGACTTATGCTTTGGCTTACGCTTTTTACACGATTAACGTGCCAGTCAGCACGAACTCTTAGAGAGAAAAGTTTTTCTTGAAATTTTAAACTTAACGAGTCGCAATGCGGCTATTAGTTTTTAGATCAAACATGCCGTTGCTCTTAAACAGGCAAGCCTCTGTGATAAATGTGGGGCAGCACCTTGAACACGATAGGACTAGAGCAATTACAGTGCGTGACATGCTACCTATGTGGAACCAGAGACTCCACGCGGATTTCATTGAACGCACCGTTTCTAGGTATGCGTTGGAATTATGCAAGGGTGAACTTTAACAAGTCACTTTACTACAATAATGTATAGTACAATCGATGCGATCAGTGCGGAGCATGTTTCTCCATAAAAATATTTGCATATTTTAAATTAGCATGGAATTTGCAATTTTGCATCTCTTAGCATTCATTTTCATAAAATGAAGAAAATTAAACAATATAGAACAATAGGTGATATGCGAATAGAAATAAGCAAATGAAAATGTAAATAAATAAACTGAAAACGTAAACAAACAAAGCAGAGGTCAATAAACAAAGTTGAGAATATAAATAATAAATGAGCAAACTCTATCATCTAAAATAAAAATATCCATTAAAAATCAAAAAACTGAGTAAAAGAACATTTTGTCAATATTTTTTATCATCCACGATTTTTTGCATCAAAATTATATTACCAGAATTTATGTAATTGCATTACATCACCGTCTGGTAAAGACTGCCGTCAGCCATGACAAACATAGTAGAGTGACTCATTCCACTAATCGAAACATGTTCATCCATAAAGGGAAATAAGGAATTATTGACGAGATAAAATTTACTAGAACGTGTAAAAAACTAATTTAATGACTGAAATGACTAAAATTCTATTTAGTCAAAGTCTATAACTCAAATTCACGTGTTTTAGGAAATGTTTAAATTGTGGCAAAATACCTGGCTTTCTTCCCATGCTGCTATATTCCATTCTGAATGATTGATAGTGATGTCAGGCCTTTGAGGTGTCGGTCGTCTTTGGTTCACGGGCAAAGAATTATTCTCTCGTTCCCATTTCTGTCATCATTAACATTCATCAATTATATTGTTATATTAAGCTGTAACTTTAGATATCATTGACAAGAGATTATTTCTCAAAGAAAATCCATAAATCTATCATGTGAACTTCTGAGAGCAAACATTACCTCGTTATTTAATAAAATTGTTCTCAAAAGCTAAAAAGAATATTTAAGATTTTATGTATTCGATACTGAATTAACAACGAATCGACTATGACGCCAATCGACTAAATATCAAAGTGAAAATGAATATGAATTTCAAAGCGATTCGCAGTAAAGCAGGATGATGAGTACGATCATATCGATCTACACACGAGACGTAATTTTTTATCGTGGATAGTCCATAGATGAATGTATAGACTCAGTTAAGGTAGTGTATAAATGGATCGAACAAAGTGTATATAAACTGCGGCTTACGTGTAAATTACACAGAACTGATCACCTCGTGCCTACATTCACCTATAGTGAACTAGTGCTAAGTGCCAGTTCACGTGCATGTATGAATATTTTTCATATCAACTAGATAGATGGAATCGCGTAAGTACGTGTGTGTATATCGATCTTATAAAGAGCCTTGACGTATTATGTGTCTTCATAGGGATTCAATAATATTCGTGCATTGTGTATCGCATACCATTAAGAGTATGAATAATATATAAAGTTCAAGTTCAATGTAAAATTAAATGCCTCGCCTGCAAATAACGAGTTATGAGAAAAATTCTTCCTATCAATAAAATGAGAGATAAACATTCTATTTCTTCTTAAGGTAAAAGTAGATTGCGCTAATCATCCGATAGATTAAAAACTATTTTAATGAGCCGATAGAGAAGAATCAATATTATTATAAAAACTACTTGCTAAAAAACTAAAGTATAATAAACAGAATTTGATCGCAAAAACTGATAAAATTTAAAGACAAGAAATTATAATGATACATTCACGAGTGACTTACCTGCATGCATCTGGGCTCATGAATAGGAAAGCTGGCAGTACCAAATTCACGACCACATATGTAACAAGTGATGGACCTTGGCCCTTTCTTCATTGGCGCTGAAGAAGGCCTAGATGATATATTGGATTGTTCCTGATTGCGTGATTCCTGATCGACCATTTCCTCCACTTTGTTCTTATTCTTATCGCTATGAAAATTCAAGGCGACGGGTTTCTGAACAATTTTCGGTACCGTGGTCTTTGTTTTCAAACTCGGAGGGCTGTCCTTTGGCTTGGGAAAGGTGCCCTTTGGATGACTGTGGAACCTTTCCGGCTGATCCGATTTTCCGCAGCTCTTGCAAGGTTCTGGAGCGCTTTTCGTCGAAGAAGATGTAAACACCTCCAGATCATTCTGTATGATTGGTCTTGAATCCCTCTTCTTCAACGTGGACAAAGAGAAAACCTTATGGCTGGCTGTTCCGTTCCTAATTGATACATGATTACAATTAATTTTGAATTTATTCTGCTTCTTCTTTCTTTAATTTTTCTCGCAAACAATTTTTGTTATTTCTATAAATAAATATCTCTGTTACGAATCTTTGCAATTTCCAAATTTCCTGCAGACTATCACGAACCTATTGTTATTGTTATCCAGTTTCGTATTATCCAAGCCTTTTTTCGTAGGAATCACATCCTGACCGCCTATACGCGCTTGCTTCTGCATCTTAGATGATACCACAGACACGTCGTATCCGAGTCTCGGGTCTAGAATTTGTTTAATGCTACGCCGTTTGTAACGTACGGAGGAGGGACCGCTGCACCACGTCGCCTCACCGTTCGACGTTGGGCTATATTGTTGTCGTTCAGCCCCGGTGACGTTTTGCCGGTACCTTGACGACGAAGGGAACGACGACGTTTCCCCACTAATTGATTTCGGAAGATGAAATCGCGTCATCGAGCCAACGAGTAACTCCTTGTTACGAAGAGATATGTCTAACTTGTCTATGAGATCCGGGTCCAGCACACTCTGTTTACCTAAGTTCGCGGTCTTCGGCCTGTTCGATTTGTTGTATAAAGAAACGCCATGTCTCATCTTTGGCGGCCAAGTATCCGGTGTTTTTAATTTGCTTCGTTGCTTCTCTCTCTCTAAATCATTTTCACAATTTTTAATTTTTGCGTATAAAAGAAACAATTTTATAGTTAGAAATCAAAGGTTTGTTCTCTAAATAGTTGTAAATTATTAAGAAATTAATGTTGATGATAATGTTGTTATTTTAATAATAAATTATATCTGCAATTAGAAAGAAGGATCATTTGTCTATTCTTAGGTCTAGTGTATGGAAAATTACTATCATTTGCAGATCAACTGAATAGAATAGTTATGATCGAACTATAATTATAGTCGGTTATAATATGTAATATAAAATATAAAAGTTCAAGATGAATTTCTAAACTTAATTTAAAAAAAGGTCGTTGATTATATTTTTGTATACAGAAATAGAATTTTTCTCCCCAATGCTAATTTTCTAAAAATGATTACCGCCTACGTTCATCTTTACTCTTCAGTTTTACAGTTAACAAAGTATTAGGTACTGTAGGCTATATAATTCCTTGACTTTAATTACAGTTTCATTATAATCTATTTTTGAATTTAACTTCATGCATAAAATAACCGTGTAATTATTATTAAAAATAACTAACTTCGTTTTGTTATATACAGCAATATTAAAATAAAAAGAAGTTACTAATTATTTTCTTTTTTGTTTCTTTTTGTTAATAATAATATGATAATTTCTACTTACTTTCCAACATGTCTGAATCATCCCTAATCACTAAAAAAGTTTTCTCAGATAAAAGCGGCGGCGGGCTCTCGTTCCATTCCATGGTTTTTACAATTGACGCCGTGAATACAGTAATTTATCACTTTGAATTTACAGATAATGTTACAGACAATTGGAAATATTTATTTTATGCTTCTTCGGTACACTGTCGTAAAAATAATTTTATATTTCAATAGTAAATAAATCGGTATTTAAAATGACATAATAGCTTTTTACACAAATTTGTCAATATGTTGTAAAATGAATAAAAAGTGTGATCGCTTATAATAAGACACACTTAAATTTTATCATTCTTGTAATTGATTCTTAATACGAATTTCTGACTCTCTGGCATTTATTATTGATTGTAAACAAATTTTCCTTTAGCCTTTAAATTGTTGCTTTCCACTATCAGTTCACTGAATTTAGCTTCTAATAAAATATTCATGGTGTCAAACTTCTGTAATTTTTTCGATCCCCATGAAGAAATTTAATTATAGTTTTAATTATATACTTGTATGACATTTGTCTATTCGAATATCAATTTGATCACAATATTTTAAGTCACAATGCCAACACTTGCACGTTTAATAAATGTTTGTGAACCAGTAAATACATAAATGTAAAGATTATCATTAAAATAATATTATATTACGAAAAAGTTACAAACTTCTAAAATAAAACATAGATGCACATACGTCTTCTTTTCTAAACATCGTATAATAGGTACAGATTAAACATAAACATTTTTTTAAATAATGGACAAAAATATGTCTCTATATTGACCGGTTCGTAGAGATCATTGAAGCAGTTCTTGACTTGTTTTTGTTAATCGACAAACTTCATTGTATTGATTTGAATTGTGCGCGACTTTTATGAAAGATATGCGATTTTAAACGCGTAACCCCTTGTCACAAAACAACCAGTGTACTGAGCTTCGGTTTACCTTGCCATTGGTCACATATAGCTTTTACCTTTCCCATTGTAGTTGACTATGAGAATACAGGTGGCTGCGAAAATCGATCCAACAACTACTATTAAACAACTGTACCGTCGTTTGTTTGTGTACGTTTTTGTTGTCATACCAAAATTTTATTACAACATTGATATTTTGTTATACATCAAAATTTTGAATGTTTATCCTTTTTTTTATTAATGTAATAAACATATTACATATTACACTTATCCCTTGTATTAATAATGCAGTTCGTACTACGTATATAATTTCAATATTATTAAATTGATTATTAAGCTATGTAGATAACAAAGTGAAACATTATTTGCATAATGGTTTCAATTTTGTAATAATGTTTTATTTAGAAATATGCGGGTACATAAGAGGTACAGAGAAAGTAAATTTGTATACATCTGCGCACAAAATTGCGCAATTTTATTTATATACCTCATTAAAAATGTGAATCCTCAGTTAATATAATTATTATAAAAGCTAAATAATTCCTATTTACAATAGATGTACATAACGTACATACATAAGATCAATACATTATCGTCGGTATCTATAACGCTTGAAATGAAACCACAATTGGAAGATGTTATTGTGAAATTGACACCTGAATCCACGTTTATATGAATATTCCCATTCTCTATTAACGATTTTAAATGCGATATCTTCGTAAGGTGGACCTGCATGAAATCGTAAAATGGCAAAATCTTTATTATCTGCACAGGGTGTCTGAAAATTATAATATTTTCATTAATGAAAAGTTTAAATGATTAACAGTAATATAGAATTAATTAAAATAATATGTCTTACCAAAAAATATTCAGGAGTTGTATTTTTATCTATTAGATCTGGATAAAATATATTAAATTTGTAACCTTGAACAATTTTTGGTGGTGGATTATCCATGTCATAATGGGTTTGATTATACTTATTCCATTCAAAACCAGTATGAACTCGGTTGAAGTATCTTGGCTTTCTAGGTCTATACTTGTCAGACCAAAGATAAATTTGTGCTTCTAAAGATGACTCGACACTAAATTGTGCTTCATCAGAACTCATGTTTTTACGTGCTTCTCTGTGCATCGCTTGTTCTTCTGCAGTCATAACATTCTGGATTTTTCGACCTGTACTGAGCACTTGATTTCTTGCATATTCTAATCGTTGATTGTCGTCCTCTTCTAAAGTAACTAATGTCCCTGGTTCAAGTTGAGAATACGGTATATACTTTGGAGAATAGCCTCCTGATTCATATTCACAAAAAGACTCTGACAAGAAAACATCAGCTGCATTATTAGCTTCTTGATCGTCACTGTAAATGTATAAAAGAAAAGTTCGTATAAATATATGAATTTTTCACATATGTAGATACATATAATATATGTAAAAAGGTAACATACTCTGATTGGCTTTCTTCACTTTTTTCTGTAACCGTACTGGGAACTGGTTCTTCTTGCTTTTCTGATTGTTCACCAGTCATTTGTGAAGTTTCGGTTTCATTTTCCGTTCTAGCTACACCTTGTTCAGCAATTAAAACTTCCAACTTTTTCCGTAAATTTTCTTGGTGCCGATCTCTTAACCGTGCTCTTGCCATATGCGCTGAGGAAAATAAATGATTGATATAAACATATAAATTAAATAGTTGAATTTCATTTATAGATAATTTTTTATGCTTACCTTTAAGTTGAGATAAAAGACTTTCCCAATATCCTATATCAACACCTTCAGGCTTTCCTGTAATTTTAGCTTCTATTTGTAGTTGCAAAGCTTCTAATTGTGCTGCTGTTTTTCCTTTAAAGATAGCAGTCACATCTTTAGCTACTGATTCATGTATTCCTTCCCTCCTGCCAACAGCTAGAAGATACAAATATTAATCATTTCTTAAGAATTATTACAAAAAAGCCTTGTTTATATAAGAAATTAAAAAATACTTACCAATTTCATATTCTGATCTTTCTAATTTTCGCAACTTATGCAATTCATCTTCAACAATTACTGTAATGTCATTCCAATAATCTAAATTTTTACCACGTTCTAATTCTTTATAAACTTTAATATCTTCAATGAGATCTTCTAAATCCTTCACATGTAATCCACGTAAATAAGTGTAAGGTTCATGCATTTCTACAGCATCAACTTCTTCTTCTGCACTGATGTACTTGGCAAGAAGATCAATCGGTTTAGCACGACCATCTTGTATTCTAATACGTGATCTTAATCTTGCTTGTTCTAAGTGAAATTGATCTTCTTGCCTAGCCCATTGCTCCAACTGAGCAGCTTCTTTTCCTCTTTGTAACATTGTCATTTCTTCTTCTCTTTGTTGTCTTTCCAATTCTCTTTCCTGTCTCCTTTTTTTAACTTTTTCCAATTCTCTTTTATTTTCTTCTTGTTTGTACCTGTTCCTAATTTCTAATTCTTCTCTACTTACACCAAGTAAACCTTCTTTCTCAAGTTTTTTAGACCATACAAATGTTGAAAGTAAATTTCCATCACCAAATGGATTATCTGTATTTGTATAATGTAAATAATCATTGTCCCAGCCCATTCTTTCTTTTCTTTTACGTTCTTTAGCTTCCTTCTTTCTTAAACGACGTAATCTTTTCTCTTCTGGTGTTTCTGTAGCTTTCATTAATTCCTTTTGACGTTTTCTGTCTTCAATTTGTTTCTGACGTTGTTTTTGAAGTTTTTCTAATAATTTTGTGGAATTCGATGAAGAATTAGATGAGGATACACTGCTAGACTCACTTAAACTTGATGAAGATGAAGATGAAGATGACGATGACCTAAAGTAAAAGAATGTTAAAATAATTATAAATTTTCCATTTATAACCTCAAAAATGATCATTTAAAGATATTCACTTACCTTCTTCTGCTTTTATGTTTCGTTGATTTTCTACGTGATTCAGAGGAATCTCTATGTCTAGACTTTTTATGACCAGAACTTTTAGATCGTTTATGTCTTGACTTAGATCTTTTGGAATGATTATTATATTCACTATCACTATCTTTATACGAAATTCTATCCTTATACTTACGCCAATCTCTATCTTCTTTCTTTAATCTATCATAATTTTTTCTATAAGAATATCTCTCCATTTTTATTAGAAATGTAATGTTCTTTCAAGAAAATTTACTATATGAATATTTCTATTCTGACACTTAACCTCATAAAAAATAATATATCAACGCAATAACGGCATCGAACGCCATTATTGAATTTAAGACAGCTGATTCCGGTTTACTACGTGTAAATTTCCGTTCACATTATATAAAACAACAAGACACAATAAATACCGATTATCTTTCTAGTTTTATAAAAATGTAATAAATTCATGAAAATGATTTGACTATTATTTCTATTTTAACATACAATCTTTTTTTAATTAACTGTCAACGACTAGGTAGTACCTTTCTTCCACTCTTCTTGATGTTACATCCGTTGAACTTTCAAATTTGTGAGCATACGTTGTTGGAGGAAGATTTTGGAAAATATAAGAGTGAGTTTTATAGTGCTTTGTGGTGAATTATTTCAAGATTTAGTGATCATTTCAAATATATAAAAATGTCGCACAAGATGTATTATTCAGACAAATACTACGATGATAAATATGAATATAGGTTGGTATGAATAACAGCAGCACGTAATGGGTCATTTAGATTTCGATTTTGGTCAATTGTGCCATTTTGATTCATTTTAGTATATGTATAAATAACACGTTGTAGATATATATTCAAGTTAATATTTTCTCAGTAGCTGCACGTGAAAATATTATTATAATAAAAAATCTACTTCGCCATATTTTATATGTGTAATTCAGTAACTTCTTTGTCTAATTTTTCGACGCAAATGTAACGTATCGTTTAAATGGCCGTCTGGTATGTTCTTTTGTTTGTTTTATTAGCCTATTCACTCATATTGAAATTGGCAGTAGCAGATAAAAAGGGCAATAAAATATTAACGTCAATATAGTCATAAAAATTTCGTGAATTTACTGATTGAAATATGACAGTATTGTTTAATAAGCATATTTTAGAATATATCACAAATTATTTCTTTTTTAAATAATTACTGTAAGTGAAGATAATTTATGTTGTAATAAATTTATAATTTCATATATAAGATATAAATATTGTACTAACATATTATTACAACTTATTGGTGATATACATATGTATATATATTATTCATATATCTTTTTTTATTAGGCATGTAGTATTGCCAAAAGAAATGGTTAAATCAGTTCCAACTACTCATCTCCTTTCCGAACAAGAATGGAGAGCCATGGGTGTTCAACAAAGTCAAGGATGGGTACATTACATGATTCATAAACCAGGTATGGTAACTTGTTGAATTCTGTTAATACCATTTAGATTATATTATTATTCTTTGTCTTTTGGTCTGAATTGTATTTAAAAATAAATTTTGTAGGATGAAAACATATTTTAATTGACAAATATTTTTGTTTCAGAACCACATATTTTACTCTTTAAAAGGAAAATAACATCTCCCCCACCAGAAAATTAATTATGCCCATTACTGTAACAATTTGTAAATAATACTTCAGATCATTGTTAATATTCATAAAACAACTCAACCAGTGACTTCTAAATTCAATATTAATATGATGATAAAATGCTCCACATAAGTTCATATTTAAAAATTTATTAATTTTAAAAGACAGAAGAATAATTTTGATCTTCCAAACTTTTTCTTATAACAAAAAACTAATGTATTGTCTTAATTTTTCCTGTGAACATATCATTGCAAAAAGTCAACAAAAGTATTCTGTATATATGTCTATAGAGTCCCCTAGCTTTTAATTACAGTTTAAATAGTACTTATATTTTGGATTTACCATAACAGTCTGGTATTTCATTTAATATAACTAAAGCAAAAGACCTAAGTATTCCAATTTTTTCCTAAAGATTATAATTCTGAGTCAGAATCAGGTATTCTGTTAGGAATTTATTGTATGGAGGAAGAATGTCATAAATTTGTGATTGAAGTGCCTTGCACATATGTGCTAATTATTAAGGTATACTTTAGTATTACATACTTAGAATAATCATTCATTTATTTTTAACAAAATTGATATAACAAAAAGTGTGCCTTTAAGTTATAAGTTCATTAATAATATAGATATCAATTTGAGATTTCACTATTAGTAATTAAGTATTAAATTCTGCGTTCATTAAGTATCTTGCCATATGATTTTTTTATATCATTCAGAATTATATAATGCATTTATATTACATATAATGTTATTTGGAATCAGCTCTCTAATTATATTTTTGCAACTTTATTTTATCAGTATTTCACAAAAGTAACTTTTATGTCTAAGTATTAGATGACTCATTTATTTTTAATAAATAAAACATGTATCGTTCGTTCTTAAATAAATATTTGTAACTCATATGTTAGTTTTCATTCTCTTTTCCTCGTAGTAATTATACATGTGTAATATGTATACACAAACACAAATATAATAAATTTTAATTATTTTTATGAGAGCAATTTTGGACAGAGAATTACATAAATGCAAAATATAAACGAAGTTACGTTGATACAAGATACGTGTATTTCTTCGTTTATATTCTTGAACGGCAAAAAAAGTGAAACAAATTTAGCCGAATGTACGAGAAAGGAGGGGCAGAATAATTAAAACAATCACGTGACTGACCTCAATCCAATTATACAAACATCGTCTCTAGCGGTCAAGTAATTCTCACACTAATTTTTGTAAATTGTACATTAATTAAATCATCGTTTATGAACACGTATGATGTGTACTACAGTTCGTTTCACTTTTATTACATAATTTCGTTACCATTTGTATCTTGTAACAAGGAAATAAGTGATTAACGAAATTTGTTAAGATTAGAAAAAATTAATTTGTATACTATGTGTGTGAAGTTGAAATAATATGTGCGAGATAAATGAATGTAACATATTTTAAATATATTATTATATACATATCTTAAATTCAAATAAAAGAGAACAAATCAAATACTTATTAACACTATGTAATTTTATTACTACCAGTTTCGTCCAAAAATAACCGATATTTCGTAACAACTATGATTTAACTTGTTATATGTGTATTAATTACTGAACTGTCTACTATATATGGTATAGCCATTCATTCAAGTTCTGAATGCATGTGTGATCGAGGTACACGCGGTTTCGTAAACAGCGTGTATATTGGTGCGCGCGCAAGCACGCGTTCATCGTAGGATCTCTGACTACATGTGCGAAGGTGCATAAGAAAAACGGCGAGGAGGGAGAACGTGTAGTCAGAGTTCGGTGAAAGGGGGCAAAAGAACAGTGGAGCACAGAGAGAGAAAGAGAGAATACTATAGGAAAAGGGTGATGGAGAGGGAAGGAGATAGTTGATTTCTGACGCACACATGTTCTATCTGTATGATGCGAAGGGCTCTGTTCTCATGAGCTAGCCGGCACTCCGCGAGAACAGAGCGCACGGATAGTACGTCGATCGCGCTCGCGGGAAGACGACTTTTCGCGTACTCTAAATCGAAACGTGTTCAGCATACCAATTCAAAAATTAGCACGCGCGCAACGTGATTCGATCGCATTGTTGCGTGCTGTTTCTTCTATTAACGACTACGATTGTGAACAAATTCAATTTACCAGGTAAGTCGATTTTTTCAAATAATTACACGAAATGTATATACAAGATATTTTTGTGCAAAAAATGAAAGCATTTGTGGTTGAAAATTTTTTCCATAATTCAATGATATAATACTTCTTAAAACATCTAATTGCACTAATTTTACCCTTTTAATAATAATGTAAGAAATGAACGCTTAAGCAATGTGACAGGAATCAAAGGGTAAATAAAGTCGTGTCTCGTCGTACTCATCTTTGCCCCGACATTAATTATGATTGGCATTACATTTATGCCTTTTCTGATTGCGTATCATCAGATATGTATATCTGTTGCATTAGTAAGAAGGGTCGAACAATTTAATATAATGTACATCTTGCATTTGTTATAGTCCACGTGTCTAAAATAGAAATTCAAACTGTTTATACAAAAGCATGATAAACGAAATTTGATTTTAGAATCGATTTAATGTGTGTACCAATCGTTTGCCAAAAAACGTCTTTAAGAATATCCATAAAAAACAAATAAAATGTTTTTTTAATTATTTTGATAGAAAGGTTGAACTACTTCAATTAAAATTTCTTTCACGTACAATCTTCTTTTTTAAAACATGTGTCACAATTTTATCTACACATTGAACATCTTTATTTAAACTTACTCATAGATACGTCCTTCGCGCAGTGAATCCATAATTACTGTGCTTCTTTGTTCATTTAATGAATAATAAATCAGTACGTTTCAAATTTTTAGAGCATCGCGCGTTTCTCATCAAACAGCTACTTTTGCTGTGCACGGTTCAAATAAGAATGGCACGTGTGTTTGGTTCTTGTTGTCTACTTTCATTTGCCTTCGCCCAGAGGTGCGTGTAGATCAGATCTTTAATCGCATTTAACAACGATGCGACCGCAAAATCAGTTTCGAAGTTACTGTATCTTCCTTTTATTTGTCTTATTTATACACGTGGAACCAACATGAACATTTTTGCCGCGCGAGAAAGTAACAATGGTAAATTTTTCTGCAGTATACAATTTTGTTAGTGGATGGAACGTAAAGGCAGATTTCCAGGACAGTTTGAACCGGTTAATACCAGTTTCTGCAAGATATACATACATGTATGTATACATAACATAGACGAGAAAATTATATTTTTATTGATTAATTAATTTTATCGATTAATTAGTAATTAATTAAACATTTTTAGTAAATTATAAGTAGTAGTATTAGTAGTAGTAGTAGTAGCAAATTTTAGTAGATTTAATTACGCGATAGTAGTTTTTATGGTACGACTATTTGATACCGGATGCTGCTCGAATTAGGGAATAAACATGAACTTAACACTATGTACTTTTAGGGTTAATTGGTGCTGTCAGATGATGGGTATGCACACCCAAGGGGTATTGCGGGTAATAATTAAATTGACAGTTAACAATTATATATATCTCATATCGTTTATGTTATGTAATAAATTATATTATGCATCATCTAGCATGATCAGTATTCAGGACCAATGAATCTCGTAACGCGCCTTGAAGATTGTTTTTCCTGTTCACTTTTGCAATTATGTGGATAAGTATACGTTTTATAGTTACATTCCATTGAGATAATATTTTGCAAGACCTGCAATCAAGGACATGTTACGAATGCAATGGAAAAATTGCTTTAAAATATTTTTTAGGGTGTATTAATAACCATTAAATAAAAATTTAATATAATACAATTTTATAAAAATAATTTTAATTCCTAAATTAGAAAAGTATGATTTGTAATAAACTAAATCATCGAGTACAAAGTTGAAAGAATTTATGATTTACGACCTAAAAAAATTATGAAGATTTAAAAGTTAACTGTATCATGAAACAATAACACATCTGAGATAAGCAGTGCAATTATGGTAGTGGAATAATGACACAAGAATCATCGTTTAGAGATGCTTATTAATATGAAATTAATCAGTTTATTCATTCGTATTAATAGCTTGCAAATTTTTGCGGTTGATATTTAGAATTCTACTTCAATAGCATCTTAAATCTATCCACAATTTTTACTTCTACGTATCAGTTTTATCGCAGTGTTCCACAGTGTTCCACACATGTGCAAATATTTTAATACGGTTACAGTTATAAAAAATGGCATTACGTTTCAATACCCCGATATAGAAAGATAACGTAATTAGAGTGATATCTCTATATTATATATATAATTTAATGTTTCGTGTATTACGTTCTAGAAAAGATCTTATTATCATATTCGTAAATAATTTATACAATATATTTCGAAGAATCATTATGTTGATATTAATCAAGACGTAAATTTATGTTGATTTCGATACTCCGTTAAAACATATTAAAAATTATATTACTCTTTTCTTTTAGGATAAAAAGACGACATGGCTCATCCAAAAAAATGGAGAAGTTGTATGTCAGAAAACATGCTGACAATGCTTACCGTAATCGCTGTGGTTTTGGGTACTATTTTTGGTTTCATCTTAAGAAACGTTAAAGATGAACCATGGACAAAGCGCGAAATCATGTACATTCAATTTCCCGGAGACATTTTTTTGAGAATGCTAAAAGCGCTTATATTGCCTTTAATCGTCGCTAGTATTGTTAGCGCGATCGGCGGTTTGGATCTTAATTTATCTGGTAATTAAAAAATATGCATATATCGTCTGTGAAAAAACTTTTTACATAACTGATAACTTATGACGAATGGACCGCGTGGGTGTACAAACTTGTTTACGTGAAGATGTCTGGTTTGGCGAAGCACAGATTACCGGTATTTTCTGGTGTTATTTAGCTTAACAAATGAGGGAATCGTGAATAATTCTGATAAGAGATGTTCTGATAACAAATGATTTTTTATATTTTTGAATTCTAGTTTTCTAAAAGACTATATTCCGAATATGAGAGAAATCAGAAATAAGCAAACTCTTCTGATTTTTCTTGTACAAACGTTTAAACGTTATAAGTTCTCATTTTACGATAAAAATTGTTTTTGTATCCATGCATTGTGTAACATAATATTTTAATATATTACATAAGATATAAAGGGCAAAAATAAACATTTTACCGCGTATTTAATTTATAGGAAGGATTGGTATAAGATCAATTTATTATTATGCGACAACGACAATATCTGCTGTAATTCTCGGTATAATTTTGGTCTTAATTATTAGACCAGGAGAATTCAGTGCACATGGTATGGTTGCAAACGACAATATAAAGCCAACTAGAGATATAACAACCACAGATACAATATTAGATTTAATCAGGTAGAGCAACAAATACTATATTTATAACGAATTATTTTTTATGAAATTTTATTTTTAGGAATGTATTTCCACCAAATCTAGTACAAGCTTGTATTGCACAGGTATATTAAATTTGCTATAAAAACTAATTAATAATGTATAATAAAAATTAATTAAAATTTTAATTAATTAATATTGTGCTTTAGTACCGTACAATACTAATAGAGCCTGAAAATAATACAGAAGGTAAGTATTATATTTAAGCTAAATTTGTTTATACTTTTATGTGATTCTATTGTTATATTTTATAAACAATTCAAAATTTTTTCTTTTAGCAACTAACATACAAGATTGGGAGATATCTCATAAATATGGAGATGGCACAAATACTTTGGGCTTGGTTATATTTGGAATTGTTTTTGGAATAGCTCTTAGTAAAATGGGTGAACCTGGGAAACCTCTTTTAACTTTCTTTGACACTTTGTCTGAAGCAACAATGCTTATTACTAAATGGGTTATATGGTAAAAAATCATATAATATTTGTGCAATTAATTTGAACCACATAAAATGTATTTAAGTATTTCATTTTGTTATAGGATATCTCCAATTGGTGTGCTTTTTCTTGTAACTTCAAAGCTTTTAGAAATCGAAGACATTGGTGCCATTGTTGGACAGTTAAGTTTATATTTTATTACAGTATTATTAGGTTTGGTTATTCATGGATGTGGAACTCTTTCAATTATATTTTTTGTTTGTACCAAACAATTGCCATTTAAAATGATAGGCAAGATGAGTCAAGTTTTAGCCACAGCTTTTGGCACCTCATCAAGGTAAATTGTACGATTTTACTAATTATGCAAGAAGCATCAGAAAAAGCTTAGAATATACAAAAAATGTATCTTCGTGAGTATAGTACAGCTACACTGCCAGTAACAATACAGTGTTTGGATAACATAGGCGTGGACCCGAGAATTACGAGGTTTGTTGTTCCAATTGGTGCTACCATTAATATGGATGGAACTGCATTATATGAAGCTGTTGCTGCAATTTTTATAGCTCAAGTTAGAAATGTACCACTGTCTCTTGGCAATGTCATTGGTGTTAGGTAATTATTAAACTAAATAGTTCACTAAAAATGATACTCAAATTATAATAAATTTAATCATTTAATGTACTTTTGTAGTATAACAGCAACTGCAGCAAGTATAGGAGCTGCTGGCATTCCACAAGCTGGTCTTGTAACAATGGTTATGGTATTAGATACTGTAGGTCTGCCTGCTGAAGATGTAACACTCATTGTTGCGGTAGATTGGCTTCTGTGAGTATTCTAATAATATCTACTAATTAAATAAAAATATTTTTATATTACTCATGTAATTACAAATAATTGTTAAATTCCTTTACAGAGATCGTTTTCGAACAACGATAAATGTTATGTGTGATGCACTTGGAGCTTATGTTGTTGAACATTTAAGTAAAAAGGAACTTGAAGCAAGTACAAACCTCCAAGAAGAAACAATTGAACTAGCCAGAGTGAGAAAAACAGAAGCATAATTTTTTAGTCTTCTTGTTACAAATTTGCCATGATATTATATAAACACAACTTTTTCTGTGTTTGTAATATTTTTTATATACTTTATAAGTCCATAACTTGTACTAATGTATATTCATGTTAACTCAAATTTTAATTTGTATGGTAATCTATACATAATTTTGTAATTACTAAATATTGTAATTAGCAGAGTGCTATTAGATATTTAAAAAGAGAAAATGATTAAGCACTAATGTACTTTTAAAGATCTAATCTTGGCTCATTTTATTTTCATAAATATGTAAAATATATAATTTTTGTTTTTTACTTGAAAAAATATTTTATTGTTATTACTTTTTTGTGCAAAATCGAAAATATTGCATAATTCATAATACTAAACATTCCATTCATTCATAGAATATAACAAATATAAAAATCACATTTAATATTGTTTTCTTTATATTTCATTTTTGTACATATATAATATTTATTATACAAATTTTATTAATGTCATCTTCAAAAATAATTTCATGTAATGATACTTAAAAATGTATTTTTTAATTCTGTTTGTAATCATATGTACTTCAATTATATAAATTCCTTGGAAATTTGTTATGTAATTATATCTTTAAAGACATACAAAATATGCCTCTTTAATCATAAACATATACCTTGAGAGTAGAGAAAGTTGTATTTACAATTTCTAAGCAATTATTTTGTACAATTACCTGTCTAAAAGAACTTAACACCTTGATTATCATCAAACAAAATTAACTCTGCTTTTTTATTTGATTCCAATGTTTTAAGTGCTCTGATTAGTACTTCTGTATCAAGTCCATAAAATTCTAAAAATAGGAAACATTTGTATTACATAATATTTTACTTTATAAGTTCTTTAAATGCGATTTTTATAAAACTGCATACCCTGATTTATTGTGTCTTCTCCTTGTGTTAACTCAAATAAAGTACATACAGAACCAATAAAACCATTCTCCTGTGCCCAATTATAAATAATTTCACCCCATTCTTCCAAAGTATGCCAATAAATTAGCCATCTTTGTCTTGTTTTATCCAATGGACTTGCATTTCCTGATTTTGCTAATTCTTCTAATATTAATAAGATGGCCTCTGATGATAACTTTCCTATTAAATATGTTAAGGGATAATATTTATGAATATATAACAAATTTATTACTTTACTCAATCACTGTTCTTGTAAAAAGGATACGATTAATTGCAGTATTGTTAAATAATGGACTTGAATGCACTTCTCTTACATCTACAATGGCTTGTTTTGTGATACGATAATATTCTAGTATTAAACTTTTCCATGCTACTAATTGTTTAGCTCTAGTATCTGAATGAGGTTGGAGACTGAAAAAATAATTTGTTACTTCGTATATTAAACACTAAGAATTACGTTTAAAAATGCAAATAACACTATTTATATTTACATTAGTATTTTTCTTATATATTATTAATATATATATTTGTTACTTTTTATTATCCAATTCAAATACATCAAATTTCCACAAAATATTTCAATGCACATAATCAAAAGTTATGTTTAAATTATAATTTTAAACATAAGATCAATATAACCTATTAATACTTACGTGAAAAATGGGGGAAAACTATATTGCCAAGGCCATTCAATTTCTGCCATTATTATTAAACTAATACAAAAATAATAGATATCATATAATGATTATATCTATCAGTTATACCTTCAAAATAATTGTGAAAGTTTTAACTACGAAAAAGTATTAATAGGCATGACATCTATGTACATGAATCTGACTGAATGGTAGATTAACAAATTCCATGTTATTTTATAATTCTTTAGGCAAACTAAAATAATATTGCAAAATAATCATTTGTAAAATAAAGTAAATATAAAACTAAATGTAACTAAAAAATTGAAAGGCAACTAATAATATTACAATAAAATTTTAATAACATTCTTAAATCGATCTAATTTTTATAATCTTTCTTAAAAAATATTTATTGTTCAACTAGTATTTTTAGATATTTATTAAATAAAAAATTCATACAAACAGTATAAACATGTATCAAATCGATTATAAAATACATACAATATAAACTTAACCTATTAAAGTAATTATTTATATTGTACACACTATTATAAAATTATTAAATCATTATCATATTGTTTTTATATAGCAATTATTACAGTGTATTTAAATTCTTATACATGATTATATATTGATTTTGGTAATATATTCCTTCAGTCTCAAAATCTCTGTATGGTCTTAAACTGGAAAATGGATTTTGTTCAAAATATGAACATTTTATACAGTTATTTAAAATTTCATTAAGTCTGATTTGTTCTTTTTTTGCTTCAGATAAAGTATAAGATGTTAAGATCAATGGGCAGTTTTGTTTAGCTATTATTTTCAAAGATTGTCTCCATGTATAATTTACAGATTTAAAATCTTCACATTCATGTATTCCTGCATTATATCCAATAATAAAATTTGGTTTTGTATAAAAATCACTCTTTGCATAATTCTCATAAAGCATATCATATACTTGAATTGAAAATTGTTTATTGTTATACTGACAATTTTTACATAAATTCATTAACATAGAACCTATAGATAATTCAGGTCCTATCAGACAAATTTTTATTATTGTTATATTTGGTAACCAATGTAATAAAATTTCCCAAATTTCTATACCCTCAGTATCTATCACATTGGCTGCAGTAATATGTATAATGATACTATTACTTTTTAAAATATATTTTAATTTTTGTAATGCATAAAGAAATGTTAAAGGTCGTGTTAAATATTCTGTATCAATTATTGTTTCTTCTATCTTTGATACCTGTGAATTTCTTTGTGGCTTAATATAACAATCTATAAAATCTTTCATGCTTTGTGGTAAATTTGTATGATTTGTATTGTATGGTACTTCAATTTTTGGTATTTTTCTTTTGTATGTTATTAAAATTACATCTAAATTAAAGCACAACTTCATAAGATTACAAACTTTGTCATGTATTGTGTCATCTTTGTGCTTCACACAAAAACTGTTATTTGGACAATTAGGACAATCTTCAAGAACTTTTATATTTTGATCATGACATACAATGCATGATCTAAGAAATTTGAACATTTGTTCTTCATAATGTTCTAATTTTCTACCAATTTTTATTGCTACTAGTAACATAAAATTCATTTTCATTTGTACCCAGGTTTCTGTATTAATATCTTGTTTAATATTTAAAAAGTCTATTTTGCTATCCTTTAAAACACTGTATATTGCTTTACATAAATCTTTATGCTGTGACCAATGTATTTTTTGATGTTCTTTACAACAGTAAGAAATCATAGTACAATTACCACATCTTTTCAAAGAGATTCCTTTCCCAAATCTTTTACAAACGTGACAAACATTTGCATAAAAAAAATAGTTATATTTGAGCACCATCTTATGTATAAAATTTTTTATATAAAAATGTATAAATGAATAACTTTATTAATATGTAATGTAAAAGTTTTTAATGTTATAAAAATTGTGCTTTTCCTTGTATAATATGGCGATACATACAATTAGATATCATTTTAAACAAGATTTTTCCTGGTTCAAAGTTTTGAAACATTGTGTATTACACATTTGTGTATTATTATTTGTGTATTACACGTTTCGTATATTACACATAATTTGGGTATCAAATAAGATCCATAATGAGTATGATATATTTACGTTAAAAATGTTATGCACTATAAATACTTGTAAACAAATAAAAATACTTCAACAATAATTTATACACTACATTTATCTCAAAACAGTTTTCTATAAACACAGTCGGATTGATCTCACTAAATATACTCTCTATGTAAAACCAGTATTGCCATCTACAGTATGAAACTTAGACTTTGAGTGCACTTAAATATTTACCGTTTCCTTTTAAATGTTTGATAATCGGAAAACTTGAAATGAAAAATAGCAAAATGCAAATTCATTAAATTAAATATACAGAAATCGTATATTACAGTATTATCATATTTATAGGATAAGGTACAGTTTAAAAAAAACTAACTATATTCAATAGTTCTAACCTTAATATCGTGTTGTTCAATAATAAATGTCATAAACGATATTTGACAATGTAGTTTATGATATTATTATAATTTCGAAATTGTAGAGTGTAATGTAATTTGCCTGTTGCCTTTTTAAAAGTAATAAAACAACTAGTTATTTTTAATGCTTATCAAAATGAGGTTATCAAATAAATGGTAATAATGCTTCGATTGTTCTTAACTGTTCAAACGCAATTGTCAGTTTGATGGATTGTCCTTTTTTTACTTTTTATAGTTTCTTGTACGTTTTGTAATATATCATATCTTTTTCTTTCCAGAATTGTTGAAAATATGATTACCTTAAGGGGAAAATTGAAGAAAGATAGTGATATAGCAAATTCAAAAAACAGAGATTATAATAAACGTGTTTCTGTCCGTGATAAGTTATTAATTAAAGAGGTATAATGATCTAGGGATGTATGGAATTGTGTTGAAAATAGTGATAACTATCCAAGATACAATTTTCTTAAAGTAGTTTGATTTTTTTTTATTTATTTAGGTTCAAGAAATGGAACAAACTTTACCTAGTACATGTCAGGTGAAATTTGATGACCCTCACTGTTTACATGAGTTTATCCTCTTGATTGTTCCTGATGAAGGATATTGGATTGGAGGTAGATTTCACTTTCAAATTTATATACCTGAAGAATATAATATGGCTGTAAGTATATCGTTAATTATAAAATATAAAATGAAAATTTGTAATCTGTGTGATATTAATATAATATTTTTAGCCACCAAAAGTTCAGTGTTTAACAAAATTATGGCATCCTAATATAAGTGAAGATGGTAATGTATGCCTTTCGATTTTAAGACAAAGTAGTGTAGATGAGATGGGATGGGCACCAACTCGTAAGCTCAAAGATGTTGTATGGGGTTTGAATTCTCTTTTTACTGTAAGTCTTCAAAACTTAAGTATTAAAAATATTTTTGGGCTTGCATTAATTAATAATATCCTTCTCAGGATCTTTTAAATTTTGATGATCCCTTAAACAGAGAAGCTGCTGATCTATTTAAAAAAGATAAGGAATCTTTCCGAAGTACGGTCAAAGATTATGTTATGCAGTATGCAAAAAGATGATTGAGACCAGTGAATATTACTGTAACAGTGTAATTGTACATTTGTGGAATTAGCTTTTTATTTGGTGGAAATTTCAAATTTTATTAAAAAATACTTTTTCAATTTGTATTTAGTATCATTTGCTACTAGTCTTCTTATTCTAGAAAGATTAGGTTTGTTATCCTCAGTTTTGTTAGTCATGTGCAGCTTTTGAGTGTTATGATACTTCATTACAATTAAACTTGTGTAATTAGTGGTACAGAGAATGAGAACAAAGAAAATGTCATGTGTACAATATACTTATCCTTTTTATAGAGCATTTTAATGATGACAGATCATAATTTGTAAATAAAGTCGATATTTAATAATAAAGCTTTCTTTAATTATTTAGTATTTATTGGTGATTTTATTAGAATATAATCATCGTTTTTGTACAATTTTAAAGGGTTTGGTTTGTACCTTGATTCGTTAAAACGTGATTTATCTTACGTTATATTCAAGTATCGATCGGTCGGTTCTTTTCTTCTTACTCATAGATCTTTGAAGTAACATATGAGCAGACGGTAATATTTAATTAAAATAATTAAACGTAACAAATAAATAATAACAAAAAAGAGAACAAGGAAAGAAAGTTCTTACATTTCGATACTCTCTTCTTTTTTTTTAGTTACTCTTCCTTGCTCTTTAAAAGACTGACTAGATACGTGCATGAAATTTTACAGTCACGTAAATAAAATTGGAAAATCATTGCTTAATAATAGTTTATGCGTTAGAACGTGGTGAGCAGTTCTTCTTGTATGCTAGTCGATCTAATAAGTTTTTGAGTGGAACCTAACAGGCTTTCACTTGCTAGGTTTTGGCTTTGAGATGCTATATTTAATCTTTCTCCATGATACTCCTCGTTATACTCTTTCAGTCTGTTGCCTAAAAACACGGCTCTCTCGCGTTTCTTAATCATAAAGTCCGATGGCTGTAGCCACCTGTGTTCATGACATTCCTCAACCAGTGGTCTTTTACTGAAATGAGAATAGAATAAGTAAAGCCTCTGTACCATGTAGATCAAAATAAAATAGAAAATACGAACCTGGGTGCTCGTTTAAAGACCAACATGAGGAACCTAGTAGCTTCTTGACTCAATTCCTTGTACAGATATTCGAATCTGTATCTTACAAATAGAATATTCTGCCTGGTTTCATCAGGGTCTTTGCCTCGGAACGGTGAAATACCGGACAGAAGTACGTACATTAGTACACCGACCATCCAAACATCCGTCTGAGGATGAGCTGGTTCCTCGTTATATACTTCGGGTGCTCTATATTCTGGGTGACCAGACTTCGGTACTAATGTACCTAATTTGCTGACAAGTCGAGCAGAACCCATATCGACTAGTTTAATTTGGACCGATCTGACAGTAGACATCACTATATTATCAGGTTGAATATCGAGGTGACAATATCCTCGCCAATGGAGGTATTGCAAACCATCCAGAATTTGAGTAATGGCAACGGCTACGCAATTTTCAGTATACTCATGTCTACTTGAGAAGTATGTGAGAATATCAGCACCCTGAAGTTTTTCTAGGATGAAGATTGCAACTGGAGAACCTGGTGCTTTGTATGCTGCTTGTAACATTGCTATCCTCTCGTGCCTTAATGAACGAAGAGCTTCATATTCCCTGTTCACCTGCTTTTCTGTTTCTGTATGTAACTCCAAGATCTTTGCGACTATCACACTGTCTGTACTTTTATCAACACCTTTTACTACGACGGAGAATTGACCTCTAGAGATCTCAGAAATGAAACTATATTTGTTCGATAGATTCGTATCGGTCGACCATTCAATGGGATGATCCTCGATAGAATAATCCATATGTGGCTTGTCTTCATCGAGTACTATTTCCTGACCTGATTCAGTTAATTCTTGAAGATGTCTCATAGCTCGGGTGATCTGAACCTTTGGACAACCTGGTAGTCTAGTTTTGATTAGTTTCGATGGGATACCTTTCTCGCTCCAACCAATGCGATTTCGTGCTGCCAAACGGAAGTTGTAGCTTGTATCCGGTTTTAAGTCTCTTATCAAATAGAACTCATGATCGATATTTGAGGCCATGTCTATCCAGTCGACCGAATCTCCTTCTTTGTACTGAAGATTATAGCATAACACTGGTGAGTTTCCATCGTACTTAGGTTGCTTCCACCGTATAAGTATTTCTGTGTCTGAGACTTCGGAAGGCTGAAATATAAGAATTAATAAAAAAATTCATTGCATTTATAAATTTGCATATCGTAACTTGTTTTAAAGACCCACAAGAAATTTTGATAACATAAATAGTTTATGTACCTCCGGGGAATCAGGTCCTGAAGGAACAACAGCTTCCACTAATCTTGTTCTGACAACAGTTTGTCCTAGTGAGTTTCTTGCGACCATTTTGTAGCTACCTACATCGTGTTCCTTTGTTGGATTGAAGCTAAGTATAGACCTGCCGTCTTTGTCTTCCGTGATTTTTATTCTATTGGTCTCTTGTATCATCAGATCGTTTTTGTACCATTGAATTAATGGTTTGGGACTTCCAACAGCTAAACAGGCCAACTGAGCAGGTTTTCCTTCCTCAATTGGTAAAATTTGTGGTTTTTCACGGAAGAATGGTAGATGGCCCTCTTTCTTTGACTCCAACATTGCCTCTGCTTCAGCGTAACTGTCTAATCGAGTTCCTAATTCGTGTTTCAAACGTCTTAGAGTAAAGTTGTCTGGTGAACCATATCTATTGATTCTTGCGCGTCTCTCGTCATCAATTTCTTCATCCATGATATCCGTGAAACGACGACGTTCTCGTATAATAGGTGTCTGAAGCGGAACATTATCATGTGATAAAAATTTTAATTCGTATTGTTAAATTCGAACTCATAATTTTTAATTACCCTCCAATCGAAGTTCTCATCGGTAATGGTACGGGAGAATCCAGGACTACGATTACATGCAACTTTCATATATTCACGTAAACGTACAGGGAAATCAGTATCACGAAGTTGAAGAAGATAAGTGTCTGGTCCATTTTGATAGCTACAAAATTGTACGTTTTTAATCATATGAAAATCTGTGATCTTGTTGCATGAGTACTTACTGGCTTTCACTTTTAATGATACCAATCTCCGTGTCAATTGGTTCCCTGGTAGGTGTTTCACTATCCCAGTGCTTAGCTACAGGTTTCTTTAATGGACTGTATGGTCTATCGTCACTAGGTTCGGGGGTGTATTTCTGACCAGGTGGATAGACCATTTTTGATGGGTGTTCGAAGGCTGTATTCAATTTACGTCTGCGGAACCATGTGCGGCAGGAAGCGTTGTTGTACCAATCGCTAAAAAATATTTTCATGTTTAAAGCAAAATGAAAGAATAAGAAGACTGCAACACAATATTTCTTTTTCTTAAATTTTATAATCTGTGTAACTGATCATGATATTATCAGTGTGATTAATTACTAACCGGTATAATTTGTAATAATTCTTCAAATTCTCTGATGGAATTTTGTACAAATCATACGGAAGTTTGTCAGCATACGCTAGCCAAGGATGAGCAAGAGCAGCTGTGACATCCATTCTTCTATCAACATTGTACATTAATAGGGAACGAATAAAATCTTTAGCATCCTCTGAGATGTTTTTCCAACGATCATCAAACTCCCACTTTCCTTCCCTGATCTTCATCAGTGTCTCCATGTCGTTGTTGCCTCTGAAGGGTGATATTCCAGAAAGTAGGATGTATGTAATAATACCAACAGCCCACATATCTGCACCGAAAGTTACACCCTCATTGTTGGTGACTTCCGGTGCCACGTACTCGGGCATACCGTACGACAAAATCATCTGTTTCGTATACGAAATTCTTCTGGCGAGGCCAAAATCAGCGATCTTTAGATCATCACCTCCCGTATGCGAAATTAGCAGATCTCCAAGCTGCAAAATATATTTATACAATAACAAATTGAATATTTATAGTGTAGAATACAGGATGTTCTGATTATATACTATTTTATATGTTTACAACTGATGTTAGTTAAATGAATCATCCTGTATGAAGATTTACTATAACAAAGATTAACCGTCAAACCCAGATGAGCATAATGGTTAGAATGCATGTACTCCAGACCCCACAGTAACTGTCTGATGTAACCAGCAATTTCTGCTTCAGTATAATAAGCTTGTTTTGTTAAAGTGTCTGCCAGTTCACCACCAGCAGCTCTATTTATTAGTTAAGAAATATTCTTGAACTTCCAAAATATTTTAAAACATCAATATTCTAAAAAGAATTAAACAAAATAAACTAATGAAAATGTTTTTGTTGAAGGATACAATTCCATTATCAACGAGACAGATTTATCAGTTTCATAAGTGTAGTCTCAGTAACTTTCTGTGATTCAGGTTGTTCATTATTTCCATCTCGTTGTACATGTACGGTTTAAGTTCTCCCTTTCCATGCATGACTTTGGCTGCATAATTTCGTCCGGTGCTTCTTTCTACAGCATGATATGTAACACCTTGAGTACCGCGACCAAGCTCATCACCCAGATCGTAGCATTCTTCAAATATTTTATCGGGACGAGGCCTAATATCCGTCTTCCTCTTGTACGTTCTGTATCCATATTCGTGTTCATTTTCTTCAACGTGCAACATTATGGAACAGGAGATGGATCCGGCTACGTTTCTAGCACTGACCGAGTACAGACCCTCATCTTTGACGATGGTATCACTGATAATCAAAAGTGTTGTATCTGGTTCGTTGAATTCGATCTGAAAGAATGGCGATTTAATCATTAAAATTTATACTTAGAAAGTTCGCGATTGTTGGGTGTGATAATATATTGTAATTTACTTGAAATTAATCTATTACATATTATTTTTGTCATAATTAGTGTTTAAATTGGAAGAAAAAGAACTCAAAGATGGTTAAAAATATATATATGAACAAACCCTTATTCTGGAAGAAGTAGTAAGAGGTTTCCAGTCCTTGTACCATTTGATTTCTGGGTAAGGTATACCAGCGATTCGAGCCATCAGTTGTCCAGTTCTCCTAACCATTACGATGGTTTCTTCCGGTCTATGAATAAATGTTGGATATTCTGCAATCTTCAGATAAACTCTTTGTCTTGCTTCACCATGTTCATTACTTGCAACAGCCTCATACATTCCTTCATCTCTTTCCAGCATTCTATTAATGAATAAAGTAGCCTGTCCATTTCTTGTGTAGCTTTGATCATACCTCCCACCAGACTCTATAAGTTGGTCATTGAAATAATACGTCATCTTTGGTTTTGGATAGCCATAAACGAACCAGAACAGGTTACAATTGTGATTCTTTACGCCATACTGAGTATCATGTTCCTGACGAAGGAACCTAGGCGCTTGAGCATAATTGTCGTGAGGTGGTCTTTCGACATCGAAGTCCTTGGGAAAATAGGGACTGGTCTCTGGACGGAAGTCGATGCCAGGAGGCAAGTAGGGGAAGAATTTCGGTGGATCTGGCTCCAGTTTTGCGCGATACGTTTGTGCAAATGGTGATGGATCGCTTATTCCATATTTGTTTTCCACACGAATGCGGAACTTGTAATCTCTGAAGGGTTCCAGATTGCGAATGTCGCAGACACAACTACGAATACCTGTGCGAGCAGTAAACCAATCACCATCTGGAAGTTCGCACATTTCTACTTGATATGTTACTGGAATTCGAGGTCCTATAGGGATGGACGGTTTCCAGGATAGCGTCAGATGACGATCCATCATTCTGCTGATAATTGGACGGTCAGCTAATGGCAATGGAACGCCGGATTTGCGATACTTATCAAAGTCTGCGTATTGCTCTCCTAAAGCTCTCTTTGCGCGTGGTTCCAATGCTAATAAAATTATAAAGAAAATATTAGTTATGTTACGAGAACAGTTGAGATTACATTGTAGGGTACTTACATTCGTAAATTAAGTCTGCGTTACAAGTATCTTGACCATATGGGTTTGTTATTTTTAAGATATATTTTCCTGCGTCCAACTCATCGGCATTAATTATAGTTAAACGTAACAGGCTGCCTTCTTGGTCCATTCTGATCCTATCAGTCTGCCATAGCTTATCTCCGTCATGAAACCATTCGAAATCAGGTTCGGGAATGCCTGTGATGCAGGCTGTAAATTTAGCTGCCATTCCTTTGTAGAACTCACAGTCGCCAATTCTCTTCAAGAATGATGGTGGTTCAACCCTTTTCGTCTTTCCTCTAAAACCAAAGATTGAGCATGTTCCATAAATAATGTAACACTTAATCAATAAAGCAGCCTTTGTTGAAGAAACAATCAACTTACATTTCATCGACTACTGTCAAATTGGCAACACACTCAGCTTCTCCACCCTTGTTCACTGCTTTGCACTTGTACGTTCCAGAGTCATCATAAGTACAATCTTTCACATATAAACAACAAACATCTCCATCGCGTTTAATCTTGTACTTATCATCATCCTGTATGATTGGTTTGTCATTGAAGTACCAGGTAATATCTGGCTGTGGTACACCAGTGACGCGAGCTAAGAACTTGGCATCGTGCGTGGGCAATTGTTGAAGATCCTTGAATTCTTGCATAAAGCTCGGAGGCTGGTAGATCTTTCTAATGTTAGCTGTTGCTTTTGTAGAATCTTCACCAAGTGGATTCGATATACGGCATTCATATAAACCGACATCTTTAGATTCACAAGGATTGATTTCCAGTTCCGTTTTCTTCCCATCGCAAGTCACAGTCAAGCGATCGGATGGTTGAAGAGGTGTGCCATCTTTGGACCAACTGACATCTGGTATTGGATTGCCGGTAAAGGAGGCAGATAAGTTCAGTGGTTGACCTTCCTCAACGTACACGTCTCGCATTGGATTCACGAATCCAGGCTTTTCTTCTGATAGATCAGACTGAAGTTTGCCGATTACACTGATTACACCTTTGCAAGAAGAAGTGCCTTCCGTGTTGCCTGCTATTACTTGGTACTCTCCTGCGTCTTCTGGTGTTACTTTGTTGATAACCAGCACTTGAGATCCATCCGGCAGGCTGATAGCTTTTATACGTTGTCCGTCAGGTATGATCTGGAAACACGAAGAAATTCGTACAATGAAAATGTCTTTACTTTTAAAACTTTAAAACTGTTTAATATTTCGCACCTCTTCGCCATTTTTGAACCATTGAAGCTGCGGTGTTGGTTTTCCTAGAACTTTGACTTCCATCTTTGCTGGGAAACCTTCCACAACAGATAATGGTTGAAGGGTGGTCACGAATTCAGGTCGTTTCTCTTTTTCTTCGACTTCGACTTTAGCAGAGCCAGTAGTTTCACCAAGCGAATTGGAAACGGTCATGGAATACGTGCCAGCATCTTCTGGACGAACGTAATCCAGCCTTAAACCGATCAAACCGTTCGGTTCGTTCATAAAGTATATTTCTTTGGTTTGTCGTAGTGGTATGCCATCCTTGAACCACTGAACTTGTGGATTCGGGAAAGCAACCACTTGAGCTTCCAACTTTAGTGGCTGTCCCACGATGGCTTTAGTGTCTTCTAATGGTTTTGAGAAAGATGGTTTTCTCCTTGAAGCTAAAATGAAATATTTCATCATGTCTTTACATTTTGAAAATCATAAATCAGAAATAATGAAAAAAATAAAAAATAATACTTACGTTTAATAGCTACAGCGCACAAAGAAGACAGGTCTCCGGTGGAGTTAGAGATTACAAGTTTATAAGCTCCACAATCAGTCGGCTTGACACAGTCGATCGTTAGTTTAATCATGCCATCGGGAGATATCTCAATCTTCGTATGATCATCCGGGATAATTTTTTCTCCATCCTTATACCAAGTTATTTCAGGCATGGGGCTTCCATCGATCTTCGCTTTAAGTTCCAAACAGTCACCTTCGTCTACCTCCGTCGATCTGGGCAGAGTAGAACAGAAACTAGGCGTGATCAATTGCACTGTCACCTCGCAATCAGTTTGAACGCTTCCAGCGACGCTAGAAGCTTCGCAACTAATTTTTCCAACATCTTTTGGACCGAATGTTGTGACGGAATAGATGCTATCGACGATGCCATCCACATGTGTGATGATTTTATGTCTATCGTCTTCCTTGATCACCACGCCGTCTTTTAACCAAGTTATATTTGGTCTGGGGATACCAGAAACCCGAACTTTCATTTCTAAATTGTCACGATCTTTGCATTCTATGTTCTTCAGTTCTTTCAGGAATAGTGGAGCCTCGGCTGAAAGTCGAATATTGTAATTAGGAAATGTTCTTTTGTGACAGAATCGTGAAAATAATTCTTCAACTTACTGTGTGCGGTCAGGGTTGCTTCTGCACTAGCTTCACCTAGATAATTCTTAGCTGCAATCTGATAAGTTCCTTTGTCTTCAACTTCCACACTTTTAATAATAAGCCTAAACTTGTTATTTCTTTTATCTTCCTCGAAATCGAATCTGTCTCCTTTCTGAAGAACTGTGCCATCCTTGATCCAAGTGATATCTGGCTTTGGATTTCCTTTGATGATGGCCTCCCACGTAAGTGACTCTCCAACAGGTGCGATAACGTCCTTCAGTTCTTCAATTTCGGGACGTAGTAATAAATTCAGGAAACCCTAATTGTAATAATAAATATTTACATTTTTTGTTTATGTAAACAATTCCTTTTTGATAAGATTGAATTGAACACTAACGCTAGCTTCAGCTTCGCCATATTTGTTCTTCAGCTTCAGCGTGTATTCACCAGTGTCATCTTTCAAGCATTTTGGTATACTCAAAGTGACTGTTGTTTCGGTTAACTTGTCTGATGCTGGCTTATTCCGTACGGTGAACTTTAGACGGCTATCATCAGCTGGGATTTCGTTACCGTTGAAGTACCTTTGAAAAATTCCATGAATTTAAGAAACCACATTCAATATAGCGCCCTTAAAAACAATTTCAATAACGTACCCAATATCCTTATTAGGTAGCAGTAATAAAAGAAACGGACCATGATTGATACGATTATTAATATAAATATAAAAAAAAAATAATTAACAAATCAAGATGAAAATATAATTAAAAAATTACTAATCAACAAAGACATGTAATGAAACGTACCATGTGATTTCAGGGACAGGATCAGCGGTGAACGTGGCCTTGAATTCTCCAGTATTTTCCTTGGCTACATCCACATCGTTCAAAGGCTCGATGAACTTGGGTTTCCGAAGATCATCCACGGTACCAACGGACAAGTAGCCTTCGACCATATCTTCGCCAAGTTTGTTCGAGAACGAGCACGAGTACACACCCTCGTCTTCGAGAATGGCCTTACTTAATTCCATCGAAAAATGTTCTCCACTACTGGTGATCCTGACACGTTCTCCGCTTCTCAGAGGCTTTCCATCCTTGAACCATTTGGCGTCCGCCCTTGGCAAACTTGTTGCTTCGATATTGAACACGACCGACTGGGTTTCGTAGATCGTTTTATCGGAGAGAGTCGATTTGATGATGTGAGGAGGCGCTAATTAGGAAATGCGAAGATTAGAATCTCTCTTACGAATAACAAGAAGCTATATACATTCTTCAGTGGTCAGATCTAAAAGGTCGTATCTTTTTGCCGTGCATCTAGTGCGGCGTTCAGCTTGCCACGTGCTGCTGTGTTACCATATATTTTTCTCTTTATTACAAATGCTGGACAATTTTGTTACCTTCGATTTATAATACACTGTAGGTATTTCATAATTCCCAGTTATCGGAAATTTAGAATTGTCTAGCATTTCTAGCATCTGCTTACCTTGATGAGAACGAAGACCATTTTAGCCAGGTTCGACTGATCGTTATTACATTGTATAAGTGTCTGGTAAGTGTCTGGATCGAACACAGAAGCGCCAACAAAATTTAATGCTCCATCTGGTATTATGATTTTAGTATTCGTTAAAAAAAAAAGGAAAGAAAAAATATTAAATGGTTCTCAAGTATGATTAAACTTTGTTATACGCTTCATGGAGTGTTAACATGCAAAGGCGACAGACATGATGGTACGCACAATTAACATGAAACTCGAAACCGATTACAAAGGAGCAGACAAGGAAAACAGAGAATCGTGCTGGCATCGAAGCGAATGCTCGTCAAAGAATGCTGCTATAATCGATCTAAGACCCTGTCGACCTGCAAGAACGCATCCGTTCGAGCAGCCGATGGAGCAATCCGGTCGTACCTGAGTCCCTGGAGGATTCCTTTTCAAGGATATCGTCCAAAACGCTGCGCTGTCGCTTAACGCGATCTAGAAGAGCTTCGAACTCTTCGTCGACCTCTTCATCGCCGCTGAGAGTAGCCTTCAATGCGCTCTCCCTAGATATCGATCTTTCCAATCCCTTCTTCGATTCCGTCGAGTCCATTCTCTCTATTTTCGAACTCTGTCTCGAAAGTCCATTCTTCATGGATCCTCGACGATCCTCTAAGTTCTGTTCGACGACTTTCTCCGGGATCGAATTTACTCGTTCTATCTTCTGTTTCGTTAACTTGCTATCTTCGATCGTAGGGGTCTGCGATTGCTCCAGATCCACCGAAGACTTCCGTTTGGGAGCTTCGCCATTTTCAACAACAGCAGCTTCCGGTTGTTTCACGCTCTGCTGAGTCAATTTTTCTAACGGCGCTTCTTCCAGTGACCGTTCTTCAATGATGGTTTCCGTGATTAACGAACCTCTGTAAGGCTTGTCGGCGTCCAGTATCTTTTCATCGGCCTGACGTCCACTCCCATTGAAGTCTTCGTAGGATCCGTTCACTAACTTCTGATCTTCAGACAGATCAGCGTATTGCATATCTTCCGTGCTGACGTCCCTCGAAATGGCCTTCATGGTCGACTCGTCATCCGAAACGGATATAATCGATACCCCACGGTTTACCTGAAGCTTCGACCTATTGTCCTCGCTGTTCTCCGAGAATTCTTCAATCAGCACGCCATTCTGTGGTTTCTGGACGGTCTCCTCTTGCACGCTGTAGCTGTAGGTGGCGATCTCTTCGACGCTAGGTCCGTCAGTGTTCAACTCCTGGCACTCAACCTTTGTTGTGGTCATCTTGCTGATAGTGTGGCTCTCATCGGGACCTGTGAACGCTCGGGCTGGTCACACTAGCTTTTTGACTACTATCTACTAGAGAGCAGAGATGATCCGTTCTACTCGACGCCAACGTTTCCGTCGCCTTTCGCGATGATTTATCTCCTCTGATCGAGGATCCGTAGCCACTCGAAAGCATAGCTGCTTTTCAATTTGACCGAAGCTCGTGAAAGCTTTATTCGGTGTGGCGTTATTTGTTTTCGTGCTTGCAGCTTTTGTGACTGACGTGGAAAATTTGATCTCGCGTATTTTGACAAATTTTTCATGGTAAATGGAAGATCGAGAAATATTTGACCTTGGAATGCCTAGGACCTAAGTCTCAAGTATCTAAGTATCTAAGTCTCAAAATTAAGAAGTGATAGTTATGCTGAATTATTGGATATTCTTGAAAATGGTTAACAATAGGCCAAATATTTTTCTTACTACTATGTAGTAAGCACATAGTAATGACACTTGTCAATTGTTATAACTAATTTGTAATTATGTACCTTAATGGTATCCAAGCTTTGCTAAGTTAATTCAGTCACAAAGTAGCCGTTCACGACGATGGTTACGTGAGACGTGTAAATAGCGAGACGTTGTTCAGCGTGTGGGAAATTTACCTGTGAGGATAGCTTCGTGGGTCGTCGTGGAGGCCACGGAGATTGTAATCGTGTCACCCTGGCCCCGTATTACTTGGACGTTTTGTTTCTCCAGTTTCACTCGACCTGAATTTATCAGACATGTTTTTTGGGCTACGATTCTACCACTACTGATTAATCAGCCATTGCTTAATTTAATTAGTCATCGGCAAGGCAATCGAGTCTTTTTATATCTTGCCTCTCTACGATATCAGTGTTACAATATTAAGCTGCTATCGCAAGGATTTCGGTGAATTACAAAAAAGAAGAAAAAATTACGTGTATTCGAAGTGAAGGAAACATTCAAAAAATAAAAGAGTAATGAAGCTGCTTGCGTCTCAAGCTTGCTTGTATGCGCAAACACAAATGGCACTATCACTTATTTCTCTACGTTTCAGTTAAAAAGGAAAAAGAGCGATAAAAAACGCGGCACGTCTTCTCGAACGTGTTTCAAAAGTCTTACCAAAATCTTGCGACATCGCATCGATCGCAGAACACAGATTTTAGAGCTTTCAAGCGTCTCATGACTGACAATATCTTTCTTTTCTATGCATAGAGACTCATACTTTCTACACACGCTGTTACAGCGCTATCAACGATCGTTTTGCTTTCCTTTGCCGACGATCGTTTGATTACCTTCCGGTCCGGATTCTTCCGCTTGTTCCTTCTTTGACTCGACCTCTTTCTCCTCGACTTTCTGGGCTTTCGTTTCCTCCTCCTCGACAATGATCTTTTCGACGGTCTCCTTCTTCAATTCCGTCTTTTCCTCCATGCTTTCTTCTGTTTTCGCTATGGAATTTATATATTTTGGGACCGTTTCAGAACATACAGTGGTAAACATAGGTAAACGCGACGAAACTGTCGGCATAGACGTGTGAAAAAGGGCGATCAACACATAAAAGTAACAATCGTACACGTATAAATACAAATACGTCGTAAGAATGGTTTCGTTGGCTTCTCCAGAAAAAACGCAGAGGGAGAAACGAGATACGGAAAAACGTATAAAACGTGAGTTTACACAGAGACAGAGGCAAGAGGATAAAAATACGAACAAAAGGTTCACGTCAATGTCGGGTACGTGACGCAATTTGTAGTGGAAATTGTGGTCGTAAATTGCTCTGTACTTCCGTTGGGTAAGTGTCATAGTTCGCAGGTTTCGATCGTGAAACCTTGTCAACGACTGTCAGTGAATCTTTGAGCGAACAAGTACGTCACATCGATAAACGATGAACAACAAACCGAACACGAAACCGTACCTTTATTTCAGTACTTACTGAATGGTGGCAAAATCGAACGCACGCCGATTAGCTGACGAGTTTCTCAAAAATTAAGAATGTGTGTACGGAGTGCGTTATATGTTTGAAGAGCTGCCCCATCAGTTCTCTTAATTCTGGAAAATTCTACCGTCAATAAGATTGAACATTTCGAACGATCAATTTTGTTAACGAATCACGAATAGGAATGATGGAGCAGCGCAACAATTGAACCCCGTTTTATCCGTGGAATAAGAGTGACTGTTTGGATCCTTACTCATTATTATGACTTTGCTCTTGCTAGTTACGTAGCCTAGCTCGTTCTCTGCTCGAACTTCGTATACGCCTCCGTCTGAACCTTTCACTAAAGTCACCGTCAGATCGTAGCTTTCTTGACGTTTACTGTCCCTTGTAATTTTAATTCTCGCGTCCGCAGAAACCTCCTGACCATCCTTGTACCATTTCACCTCGGGTTCCGGAGTACCAGCTACTTCGAAGATCAATTTCAAAGTGTCTCCCTCTTTAATTCTTTGATCGCTGAGTTTCTTCAGAAGTTTTGGTCTGGTCCTCACGATAAGTGTAGAACTGCTTTTAACTTCACCGAATTCGTTCTTTAACTTGCAAGTATACTTTCCCTTAAGCTCAGCTTTAGCTTCAGAAATGACTAGTTTGCAGAAGTCCTCTGCCTCTGTACGAACGAATTCTTTTCGTTTCTCTGTGATCTCCACGTCGCCAATGTACCAGTGAATGCTTGGTTGCGGGCAACCATCGATTTTCACCTTGAATTCGATATTTGCTTCGCCTTCATTAACTGTGACATCGTACATCTTCGATTTAAATCGTGGAAGGCCTTTCACCTAAAAAGTAAGAGTACGTTGTGATTACAGTGAGTACTAGTTTGATTAAATAAATATTAGTTAAAAATAAGGTTGTTATAGTTACTTGTATTTTGATTTCATCGGCAATCACACCATGTTCAGAGGAAACTTCCGCTTTGTACATTCCTGCATCCTCGCTTACTATACCGGTGATCTTCAGGATGAATTTGTTACCCTCCCGAGTCATTTTTATGTGGCTATCTTCGACAACCAATTCTCCGTCTCTGAACCATTTAATACTAGGCGGCATTACAGATTCGACATCTACAGATAAGATCATATTCGTGCCCTGATCGAAAATTTGCGGTTCTCCCAATCTCTTCGTGATTCTTGGTGGACTTAGTACTTTAACCTTCCAAATTTCCGTTGTCTGATTCACTTCGTTTCGCGCCACGATCGAGTAAGATCCAGCATCCTCTAAACGAGCATTCTTTATTGTTAATTTATATGTTTCGCTGCCCTCTTTAACGATGCTTATACGGTCATTCTCTTGGATTTCTTGACCGTCCTTATACCATTTAACTTCTGGCGCAGGCGTGGCTTCGATTTGTAGAAGCATATTTAATGTTTCGCCGATAATGACAGATATATCACTTTGTTTTTTCGTGATCTTTGGAGCAGACTTCACTATCAATTCGATTTGAGTTGTATCCTCGCCTAATTCGTTCTTTGCTCTAATAGTGTAAACACCTGCATCCTTGGCTGTGACGTTTTTAATCACCAGAGACATGGATTCTTCGTCTTCCCAGAGGTACTTGTACTTTCCACCAGCGACAATTTCCTCTCCATCTTTGGTCCATTTGATGTCTGGTTTTGGATATCCTCTGATCTGTAATTCGAGCATGGCAGATCCACCGGCGCTTACTTCTGAATGTCTGACTTCTGAACATAGTTTTGGTTTCTCTGGATCTTTTATCAGTTGGTGTACTGCGCCCTGGACCGTTAGTTCAGCACTACAGCTGATATTGCCTATCATTTAAATATTTTAATTAGTATATTAAGTAACTTATCTTATTAGATCATCTTAGGAATATTTTTTTGTGTTCTTACAGTCACCCAAAGGTTATATTTCAAAGTTAGGTTCAAGGTCACAATTCTAAAAGCTGTGAAACGATTACAAATAATTACCTGTACTCGTCTGTGCAACACACGTATAAAGACCAGCATCCTCAGGCTTGACATGCTGGAACACCAGAGCCAACGTGTCTTCGTCGTCCCTAAGCAGCACCTTGAAGCGCTCTTCAGGGTCGAAAGGTTTCCCATCACGTAGCCAAGTGAACTGGGGCTCCATTCCCGGTTCGAGGAAGCCCTCAGGAAGGAACAGCATTTTTTCATCTGATACTGTTACGGATGCTTCGCAAGAGGTTTCTCCATATCGATTCTTCGCGGTACAGGAGTATTTTCCAGCATCTTGCTTTTGAACATCTGCGATTACTAATTCGTAGAAACCTTTTTCTGCTTGTTCGGTAACGACCTTTATGCGTGGGTGATTTGCATCAATTAAAACGTCATCTTTGTAGCTGTGTTCAAAACAGATTAAAAATTAAACACATTCTTCTAGTGTTATTCCTCTTCTAAAGTTGACGAAATAAAATGGATCATGTCTTATTAGCTTACAATTTCATTTCAGGATTAGGATCTCCTTTTACTTTCACCATGAAACGCAAGTAAGTGTTCTCCAAGAGTTCTGTGTCCTTCAGACGTACTAAGAAAATGGGCGCGTTGGCTTCCGCCCTTGCTTTCTTCTCCTCTGGAGTAACTAAGCGTTAAAAAATATAAATGTTAATTTTCAAGTAATATTTAGTATACTGTATATAAATTTAATAAACCCACGTTTTTGTACAATGAGCTGAGCAGTACAAGTAGACTGGCCTTCGCTGTTCATGGCTCTAGCGATGTAAATTCCAGAATCAGACTCGAGCACGTTCTGGAGTTGAAGTTTGAACGTTTTTCCAGTTGCAGAAGCTGTTAGACGATCTGCTAATTTATCCTCTAATGGTTTATTGTCTTTCAGCCATTGCACTCTCGTTGTACTATCAGTATTCAACAGAGTGCACTCAAAGCTAGTCGTTTCTCCAGCTACATAAAGGAATGATTAATAAAATTAGTAAAAATGCATGGATGAATGAAACACGGGGAAAATTATTGCTATACATTAAGTTCAAGAATTTATGTACAATATAATACAGTCAAAAGTATTTTTACATAAGAAAATTGAGAGGGAATTCCATTGGATATAACAGCGTCTAAAACTGAAGTAATTTTTGTTCGATATTTGTATAGAAGAATTAAGGAGGGTTGAATTGTATACTACGACAAGATACAAGTTTACAACAATAATTACATGTATCACGAGTTTGATATTTATTTATAATTTATTTTGTTTGGTTGTGGTTGAAAAGCGTGCTGCAAATGAAAAGTGTGCTTCCTATATAAAATGGGACAGCTAGTAAAACACGTATGAAAAAGAAGATAATACAACAGCTCACGAAAGGAGTAGCTACTTGAAAAATATATACGACAATAAAGCAGATCGTGTTAAACCAACAAGTGTGCAGTGTAGAAGATATTAAAAAATAAAGTGAAATATGAAGAGTGTAAAGTGTGTGTGAGTATATAGTGTGTTGTTGTGAGTGATAGAGAACAACATCTAGGATTAATTTTAAGCTTGTCCAACCGCCTAGTGGAACGTGTAGAAGCAATTTTACTCAGCTGGCTAGAAGAAATAATATAAGAGGTAGAACAAGGTAGAAACGTTCTTAACGAGTCAGTATCACTTTACCTACGGCGTGTATCAATTCCACGTTATTTTCTGGTATCGCTAGAACAGTAAAAATGTGTCTTATGTCACCTGCTCGAGCAAATTTCGTTTACTTGTAATCATATACAATAATTTCAGAACCACTGACGTTACCGTTTATAAAATTTCGGATTTCCTTGATTTCTTTGTAGGTTTCTGGTTTTTAACTACAAACTACTCCACTATGTATCTTATTTTATATCAGGTCACTTACGTTCAACATTGGATCCCTCGAGAGTCTTGACGAACACGGGCTTTGCTTTTCCACTGCTACCCTCGATCTTAGCTACGTTCGTCTTGGACTCTAACGTATTGCCAGCTTGATAAGAACTGGATTCCATTCTCATCGCACTGCTCGATGATTCCATATATGCTGACATGGCAGTTTGACTGCTGGATACTGCAGAATACTCTTCATGTGCGAAGAAGAAGTAAAGGACCATTAGTATGAATGAACAGAAATTTCTCAATTAAAATTCACATTACTGATTCTCTACCTTCAACCACTTTCGAAGAGCTGCTGTATCGACTGGAGGAATATCTTCGAGACATGTCTGCGCTTTCCTCTGCAGCTTTCTTAGAATCTGGATTACCCGGATTGTCTTTCTTCTCTACCGACTTTTCTTCAGGATTTGGTCCTGGATTTGGTCCTGGATTTGCTCGAGCCTTTTCTGGTCCTGGATTGTCAGCTGCCTTCGGTCCTGGATTCGCTGTTACCTTTTGAGGATTAGCTGGATTCTTCTTAACTTCTTCCTTGGATTCTGGTACCTCTGTCAACTGTAGATCGTCTGCGGCGTGCTCGGCGAGAGCTACCACGTCACTCGCGTACTGTCTAATTTCTTTCAACCAATAGGCCTTTACCAGATCTTTATGAGCTACTAAAGTGATCGGATAAGCTGGACTTGCTGGACTGTGCAGTTCGAAAGTTCGTATGTCCCCTGGATGGTCCTTCACTTCTACTTCTGGCAGCTGAAATTACGTTAAATACGAAATAAATCCATAGAATACGCAAAAACTTCTTGATTATAATCAAATTCTTCAAACAAACGCATTACTTACTCGAATAATGTCTTTGAGGACGAACACCGATCTGTCTTCCGATATTCGTCTGACTTTGCAGACAAGTATGCGAGCTTTAAAGAGAAACAGATACCTTTCCTTGCTCTTACCGTCCTTGTCAATCACCGTGTACCATTCCTGTCAATCGAACACCGTATAATTTCACCAAATCATCAAGCATCTACGAGCGTACATTTCAAATATACTGACGTGTGTAAGCAATCTGCCAAGTTTGTGGATATTTCCTTTGTACCCTTCGATATTGCTTATGAACTTATTATCCGTCGCCCTATGGGGGATACCTAGCATCAACTCCAAAGCCTTTTGGAGGTCGTCGCAGTTTTCGCCTAGTCGGGTCGAATACTTCACCAGCTCCTGTAAAATTGTTCAAGCATATCAGAAACTGTTCAAGATACTCGGATAACTCGAAACTGGATGAAATAATGACAAAACGGGGTAAAATGTTATCAAATCGAGCGGAAAAATGGTTCGGTTTCGAATTGAGTTCATCAACATGGTTTCACAGGCGAACGTGTTTCGCCTAACTTTCTTCCATTCCTTCCGTTCAATAGATCTCGCGTGTGGTTTTTCTATGACAGAGAGGCGGCGGGGAAGATAACACGTCGCGAAGATGACCCGTTTTTAGCTTGCTAAATCCGTACGGCGCCCACTCGTTCGCACACCACGACCAAACGCTCTGTCGCAGCATTGCAACTATACCACGACGAATATTGTGGCTTCCCTTGATCTATATCTACACACCGTATCATGGAAATAAAACGACGCGATTCAGGCCGATCTTACGACGGATAGATCGACGCCACGACGTCTTCGAAAGAGGGCATCCTTGAAATCGCTCGATTCTCCAAGACAGTTCCTTCATTGTTACTATACTAGTTATCTTAACGCTAGAACTACTGACGTCTAACGTATACCAGAATATGGTATATATAGATGATACTAATGAAAGTATCGCGATGAAAATAAACAGGTATATACGACAAGTGTCACCGTTAATTCTGCCAAAAGTATCTACACATTTTCGATAACTTCGAGGGCAAAAAGTCTGGGACGAGTTATTTCGACTACCCGGTAGTACCTACTAGTGTCAATTTACCTTCTCATAGACAGAAAGGTAAATGCCTGAGTCTGCTGTTGAACCCGTGCGAAGGAATTTGAAAAATAGTTTCACCGAGCCACGTCTTCAGCGCCTCTCGTCGACTTTATATTCCGGGCAACCAGCCCAGACTAATTCGTGTCCTAAGCCAAAGGTTTAAGGTAACAAACCGAGATTATACGTACGAGGCAATAACACGATTGCTATCTATCACGTGCAATCTATTTCCTCTGGCATTCTTCACGCTCCTCTAATCTCGAGTTCGAACCCTGACAACTTACCCGGTCGAGTTGGGCACGTATTTCTATATTATTTTCCAAAGGTGTCACAAAAATCTGTCGAAATCGCGACTGGGATAACAATTAATCTCGTTCGGAATTCGCTTTCAAGGCGAACCGGGAAGTATTTTAGCGCCGGTCTATTTTTACCTGACAGAATGAAATTTTCTCGCCGATATAGGTCACGTGCGGATTCTACAGGTCGTCGGTGTCTCGTCGTCTGCGAAACAAATCTTTTTTCTTATTTTTTCTTATTTATTTTTTTTTTTAGAAACATCGATGTAGCGACGAAAATATATTTCTTCCGATATGTATTTTTTTTTTCGGAGAAAAATAGAACAGGGAGACAATAGTTTAGAGAAAGAAAAATACCGATGGCGACGACGAAGGCACTCGATGATTCACTTTATCCTCCGCTTTTACGTCGAAACGAAGAAAATAGAAGATGACACTGTTGCGGACACAATAGCGCAAGTTTTTGGCTAATTTTCCTCGCGAAACCGTCTATCAGGAACGTCGTGTTCAACGTCGGGTATTCGGTCTATCGTCTTGTAAATGCATCGGCGATTTGTTCAACGCGAATTTACGCGAAACGATATAACGAGATGGTACAGTGCAGCCTGGTATCCAGCACCCTATCAAGTTTCAGCGACAACTTTATACGAAGATTACGCGTTGCGGGTGGTTTATGCATAACTGCTGGAATGCTTTCAAGAGATACACTGGGCATGCTGTATTTCTGTCATAACACCCTTGAAATGTATTTTCGATCCGGATTCGTGTTAACAATTTTCCGCGATCGAGCGCAAGATTTCGTAAAGAGAGAACGAAAAAGTGACTTTCTGTATAACGTTACCTTGAGCAGGAGCTGGTAGTCGTTTATGCGTTGTATCGGAAGCTTCAAGTGCTCCGATAGGCTCTTGTCGTCACGGAGAGTCTGGCTCAGCTCCTGCAAATAATTTGCATCATTTAAAAAATTTTTTTTACATCGTTTCAACTCAGATTATCAACCTATAGTACTATGGATAGTACAAATATTTTTATTGATTGTGGTACACGAGCCTGAATCAAATAATATCAAATTTAAAAATGATGTATAACAGAGTAGGCTATGATAAGTAGATACAGGTCTACAAAATGATTTATTCGCATATTGACTAGGTGGTACAAGAGAAGAGAAGCTTGAAATCTGTTGAACCAAGACGTATATTTCTTTTCGAGCCTTTTTTTAGATTTTTATTAAAAAATGTTTGCATACGTCGATAAATCGTTCGAGATATATTTATTTTTTTAAAAAATGGCAAATGACGAAAATTATAGTTTCTGGGAATGTGTATCGAACATGAGAATTGGCCATTGGAATTTCTCATCGTAGAACAGAATTGTTCGACGCTGTAATTCGACACCAGGATGAAGAGACGCTTATTTTTGGATGCGACTGGATTTTCCACGCAACTATTTCCTATCGATCGACCTAGCTGAATCTAGTGACACACTGGGCACCATTGTGAATGACATTCTAAGAGAGCAATACGGAATAACGTTTACCAATGCGATGAAATTTTTAATTAACGATCTCTGCGACACTGTACGAATATTTAGAACTCTGTTCAAAACCTTGCAACTTACGTGCCTCCCATCGTCCAACATTCCGTGTAAATCATCTGTCACAATTACAGCACTGTCACTAGATCGACTAATTTGAACCAACCTTGCGATAAAATTCCTGAATTAATCTTCATAAAACTGACACACAGAACGGAAGACGAATCGATCCTAAGAACCACCTTGAAAACGCGAAATTTTTAAGAAAAATCGAGCAAGATTGCCCTAAAAAATCTTGTTCACCGAAGAGAAAAGTCCCAAGTAAGTTGAAAAGGTTTAATAAAAGTTTGATGAACTTGCAAGGTCCAGGTTAAGAAAACAGCTCTGGTGGAAGGGCTGGCGCACCTTAACGGAGGTCAAGGGAGGTAAACACCGTTGTTCGTGTTTCGAGTCGTTGGTTCGAAGAGGACACCGTGGCTGGTCGCAGACTGGACCAGGTCTCTGCTCTTCCGCTGATTCTCTTCCTCGAGGGGGATCCACAGTCGGTGGTTACCGAAAAACACCAGTCGGGAGACCAATACGGCTACGGCTATACTTAGACGCCGGACGAACTCGTGGACTGACCACGCACAAAAACAACGCGAACCGTCCTACGAATCGTGGATACCTTTTAGTTCACACGAACTGTATTGTTCTTCTTCAAGGAACAAGAAAGAAGACTAAGAGTGCTCATTGATGTCTACGTCGATGGGGAATCTGAAGGTTTGGTTTGACTTTTTGATAAGAAGAAGAGAAGTTTCGAGAACGATTTTGGCGTAGAATAATTCTCCACAAAAAATTAAGTCGAAAAGGTGAAATGAAATTTTCTTGTACGAGGAAATTGACGTTGAAAATGCATGGTGCTCCGCTTAGCGAGTACACCCCACGCATCTTTAAGGACAATTTTATCAAAACCATAGAGTCGTACAGAAAAGTTCATTGGACAGTTTTATTTCCTTTTTTTTTTTCAGAGAATCGTTTCTTCCGTATCTGTATGCGGATTTTAAAGTAAATGAAATAAACTTGTCGAGTCATTCCTAATTTATGTTCCTCAAACTAAGAGATACCGATACATCAAATCATTTTAATAATGGGTATGGTAATGAACGCAAAGTGAATCTGGAAGAGAAACGCGTGGACAAGTTTGCGTGTCATAAATAGGAATAATGTACGAGGAGTCCTAATGCACTTAAAGTGTTTCACTTTGAAATCGGACACGTTCGGCAAGATACTATCGCACAATCTAATTTTAATTTCGGGTCATTAAATGAATACACGTCAACTATATCGTGTGAAAATCTTGCTGTGTTCTTGAGTCAAGTTCCAGAAATAACGACGCGAATCACGAGAAAAAAGTGAGTAGCATAGATGAAATAACAAAATATTTGATTCTATTATATATATATTCTAATCGCCTACGCTTGGCGTTGTGTCATCGTACTTTTGTTAATTTCGAAAGCAAAGTCTTCCCATAGCTCAATCATTAAAATTGAGATTGTTCTAAGAACTTGAATTATGAACTAAGCTTCATGATTTTCTTTTCAAAATATTTCGATATCAGTATATCGCTATCTAACGAAATATATATGTGTGCAATTCAATTAAAACGAAAAATGCTGGAATTAAAAAAAATATGTAAGAGCACCCTAATGAATTTTGAAACAAGAATGGAATACAATTCGAAGATCTATCGGATCGATGTCGTACAGCTGAGACACTTCAGGCGTACGCTTCGTTTTTTCTACGAGCAGAGATTACGCTGGTTGCTGTCATCGCGTAATGACAGCAACTGTGACGTCGTCAGCCAATAACGCGGCCGCTTTCTTCCTTTTCTTTTCGTGGCACGCGTCTCACCGCGAGACTATCGTGCATAAGTAAGAGAAGCGAAAGATGTTCCGTCCGTTAAGAATAAACCAAGCTATTTCGAGGGCTGGACAGACGCCCGCTTACCCCCGCTTGTTACGTAATTGCGAAATTTTCTTCGATTCATGCAAACGGGTGTTTCAGTCATGAAAAATCCTGGAGCTCCCTGTCACGATTCCATGATGTTTCAAGTCATCTTAAAAAACAAATAATTGTATTTCTTTAAGCGGAAAAAACTGGGAAAAAATAAATAAAATGTGAAAGATGAAAAGGGACCCAACAAAGATCTATAAATAGTATCTGCATCCGTATTAATGGATAAAAACCTTAGGTCATCGGTTCATGTAGAGTTATGTATAGAACACGTCACTAAAATTGTTATATCTAAATTATGTTTAGTGAAAGCTCCTCGCGTTATTATCGACGTTATCGTCGGTATGCCAAACTACGAAGATTGCGGACAGGAATCTTTCTTACCATCCTAATGGTTCTCTGCTGAGAATCAAACGTCTGTTATTTGTAACTCTTGCTCTTGAGTTAATAATTATGATAATAATTGTCATACGAGTAAATTATGAAAATAATTCATTAAGTATACAATCCAGTGACTAACCTCAAAGTATTCTCGTACTGCATCGTTCATCTGGAGGAACTCCTGGGCCGCCGGTTCGTCCCTACAGTAGGCCACATGTTTGTCGAAATCCCTTTCCTGAAACAACGAATAATTGAAATATAAAATAAAATGAAAATCTTGCAATATATTCGAATGCTTTTTAGCGTTTATAGACTCACCAATCGCAAAAACGTCTTTCCCAGCATACGTGGCTGATCCGCATAGTACTTAACACCCTCGATCAACACCCTGCCGAACGATCTAAGTAAGGTTCCGATTAATTTTCACGCTAAAAACACACCATGCCTACGTGCTGAAGGCTGCATCCTTCCTGGCCTCTCTTTTCAGTGCGACATATAGGGTGCAACGACAACATTCATGAGTAGTTACGACCATTAATTCTCGCTGATTGATTACGCCACTATAGTTTTCTTTATGCTGATTAAAACACGATGAGTTATATCCAATGGGAGATCGTGAAATTATGATTAATTAATATTGGGACGGGGCATAAGTAAACTAAAGATTTTATGATCTACCAGGGACAAGAATCGAATAATTTTCAAAGAGAAACGCTGTGATTAGAAACAACCATTTAGTAAATCCATTCTTCCTTGTATTATTTGACTTTAAACAAGATATTCTGTCGAGAAGTCTAACTCACTGTAAATGCTCTTAGTGTTTTATGTCATGTATATTAACTTTCTTTTTTTGGAAGAATGAATTTACGCTGGCAGAGTCAATCGAAGCGTGCTCATAAAACTATGAGGGGAGGGTGCTCAAAACGTTTCAAAAAGCAACGCTTTGCTGCATTAAACGTAAAATACTATTAACTGCCACGAAACACACGATCACACAAATTATGCCTCGTTATCGGACTTACGTTGCTCACACATCTGTTTTGCTAGAGAGAGAATAATGTATTTGATGTATATAATGACGCGGGCATGTGTGGCGTGTATTGTGCGTGCATGTGTTTCTCTTTCTTTTCATTCCGACTTTAATAGAGAATGGTTGTAGAGATTCGTTGTCGTGGTCTGTGATTGGACACTCGTGCGTGGATCCAAGTAACCCGAAGAAAATTTATATTGAATGGAATGTAAGACACGAAGAATGTAAGTAACATAAGAATCGTGTTACGTGTTGGGTTTTTGTAACGAATGTCCAGTCGATTGTGTCGCAGTGAATTTCTCTCCTTTGCCGACCCGATTCATCGGGTATACGTACGTATTGTGAAAATCGGCAATTTGTTTCAGGTTCGTGAAGATGATATCCTTATTGTCACGCACGATCCGTGGAACATCTGGATTGTCAAGGGGTTTCAAGTAACGTTCAACGACCAGTTGAAGGTCTCTGCCAAATTCTTCCTCGGTCTCGACCAGTTCTTTCACTACCGCCCTATAGGGGAATCAAATGATTAATACGAAGGGAGACGTCCAAGAAAAATAAAGAACGACTTACTCTCTTCGATATTGCGAGTCTTCCGGTCGATGTCCAAGTGCTGTGTCCTCGCTGAGGGCAGTTTGCATCAAGATGGACATGGGCAGCCATCCTTCCCTTGAGTCAGCTGTACGAACGTACACTCTGTGAAGATAAATTGATTTAGGAATTAGTTGACCGAATTCCACAAAAGGGAACATGACAGAACGAACGTGTTTAGACATACAACGACCCCAAGAGTGAACTGTCTCTGCTGTTTTAAAACATTCGTCATCTAATGGATATTTCCTACAATGTTCTTTCTGATTTATTCCTTAGACATTTTTTCGGTTTCCTTCATTTTTGACGTTATAACATGTCACTTATCTTCTTCATAATAGGGTGAACAAATTTAGTGTTAAACGAGTTTTCAATTCGACGTACATTTAACTCAACGTATATTCATCTTCGTAAGTATAATTGGTCCGCTTCAAATGGTACTGACAAATTCAAGGCCTAATGGGCCGAATGGACGGCCAACAAATTTTGCGTTCTGCTGAATGAACGACGAATTTGCGTACATTATGCGCGTACAGGGAGGCCTGTAGCCTTAGTCACTAAATTTAAATATAACTTTCCACTGCCCACGCGACTCTATAACTATCTATTCTTTATAATATCATCAGGTATATTTTCAACCGTACAAAGTCGCGTCTACTTAATCACATCCTCGTCTATTTCTAACGCAGGAATAAGGAAGACTTCCAAACGTTTGCTGCACGAAAGGCAACGTCTACCCTCTACCAGCAATAATCTCTATGTAATTTTCCATTGAGTTTATTCGTCATAATCCGATATTTAATTATCCCAACTTATCATCATCTAAATTTATCCCATAAATTATTTTCTCTCGTATGTTCCTTTGTCCTATGCGAATAGTCTCAAAGCTCCTAACGAGTCGATATCCTCGAAATGCGAGCTGCGTTTACTTGTTTACGGAAACATAACAAAATCCACGATACGGTACAATTAACAGGAGTTAGATGTAGTAGATAGTAAATAATTCGCAATCCATTGAACGAGGCCGCTGCCAAAGCGGCAAATCAAAGTTACAGCTTGAACCTCACCTTCGTGCGAACTTATTTTCAGAACTGGCTGGTATTTCGCCTTCCTTGGAATCAAGTATCTTCTGGCAAACCAGTGGAGCCACGCGCTATTCGTTGTCTTATGCAATAAAGAATTTATTTAGACGCGACATTTAGTGCTGAATCGATGGTGCACCTCTTCTAAGCCTGACAATCATCGTACACCTGACAAGCAAACGCTTATGTTCCCATTCGATGGATTTACAATTAGACCAACGATATAACGTTACAATTTTTCAACATAATCGCAACCTATCGACCGATAATTTAGGAGTACATTGTCGAGATCGAACCTATTCTGGCCTACCGCCAATCGCGAGCACCCTTCTTACGTTTAATCGATTTTCGAACCACTTATAAATGCTTCATCTTTGTTAATGTCATCGTAAATCATCGTAATCTCGGCCATTAGAATTCAAATGAACCAAAATATCGTTCGCAGTTACAAACACCGAGTTATATTTACCCCTCTAATTGGGAACAAAACGAAATTAAAAATTGAATCATTGACAAATTTAGTAAGGCATTTTTCACGTTTGCGATACGCATGGTGCGATTTAAATAAATCGCGTTTCAATGGTGAACAGCGAAGTTAGGGGTTCTCGAGTAGAAGAATAGTAATGGCGGCTGAGAGGCGACGTAATAGCCGTTCGATAAAGCGCGCTTCCGCATGAAAATCAAACAACTTGCGGTGATATCGTAACCACTTAAACAACCGTTTCCGTGTAATCCTGGGGGATGAAATACGACGAGTTCATTGGCTTCGCCGTTAACATAATGTTTGGAGGCTACTGTTTGACCGAAGCACCTGTCGTTGCTATATTTCGTGCACGGATTTAGTCGTCCACGTAAATGCTCCTTCGCTTCGAGTATTCCTCGTTCAATGGAGAACTTCCGGTTTCCAGGCCTTTCGTTTGCTCGTTACTCTCAGTTTGGTTTTGGATGGTCCTAGGTGTATTTGATAATTAGTCACGCATAAGTCTGAATTTTCACTTCAGGTGATCGTGGAAGGTGTATCGATGAGTGCCGAAATAACAACGTCACTTTGGATTCTCTGTGTTGCTATCCAATCGTCGAGCAAACGTGATTTACCGAAGAAACTGCACCTGCTTAACGCATATTTCAGCTACTGCTACACAGCTTTGAGGAACAGTGATGACGCGTCCTTGGCGTATGTCTTCCGAGAGCAGCGCTGAATTGTTTCGAGCTGAGCAATTTTGTAGAAACTCCTTACATTTATATTTATATTTATTGCTCTATCTTACTGTTTCTATCCCATTTTTATTATACCCGCATTCCAGCTGTGGCTAAATGGAGTTCCTCCGGACTTAAGATGACTCGAGGAAAGAAACGTCTTCTCTGAAAAATTCTTTGTATTTTACACTTAGAAGTCTGTTGCGTAATTTCGATGCGATGATGTTCATAGAGAATTCTCATATATTTCCATGCACTTGTCTGTTATCGGATATTGACCGATGCAAAACTCGTTGGTGGCTGTCGTTTCGTAAATGTCTTATTCATTCGTCCATCGTCATTATTCAGCATCTTGAACTAAAACTACGTCTTCTAGTACCTTACCTCTGGAAGCTGCTGTCCGAGTCCGACCTCGGGATGTGTCTAGCACGGGGATCCGCGTACTTGCGACGCGGTCGTACCGACAATTTGTGCCAGGCTGCCGAGTTGTCCAATATTTCGCCGATCTCGCCGATCTCCAGATCAGGATCCAGCTTGATCTTCCTACAACACGTTCAAACGTCGACGATAGAACCAGTTCCCGTGCATCGTGCACTTTTCCCGCGTCCATGTTCGACGCCATTTTATATCGCAGTCTCATGCAGACTAAACATCAGCTCCACTATTCGAAGCGAGTTAGCGAGTTCGTTAAAAATGTAAAGCGGGTCTCGTTGCAGCGGATTCAGCCTCGTTTAGATCGTCAGGCATTCGCGGTTTCTTTGTTACTTGGTTTTTGCTCAGCGTATTTATAGCGAGCGTGCAACAAGCGAGGACAATTCAAGATTCGCGTATCCACCAAACGCGTTCGCCACGTCGTGTCTCGATCGTCGAAAACGCGTGTCGATCGGTTTTATTCTCGTCTCACGGCCCCCATCGTCGGCCGATCGCGAGGCCCCCGATCGGAAAGCGAAACTTCCCATTTGCTTTCGCGGCCGAGGCACTCGCGAGTGCCGTCGACGTATTTTATAAACGCGAGAGTGAAACGCACCGGCGAAAACGTGGTTCGCGTAAAAATATCGCCGCGAAAATAAGCAAAGGGGAGCGGTCCGCGCAGTGATCTTTCACCGTTTGACACGCGGACTGAACGCGCCTCGATTCCTCCCTTGTGTTCTTCACCATTCGAACGTGTTCCTATTAATACACGTGTCCAAAGTTCGATCCGTACGCGTTTTCTCGTTCTGATTTAGCAACATCTTCCAACAAGCCTGTCTAGCTTGTGGCACCATGTTACTCCCCTTCGTTCGATCCTTTTTGTCAAATCGACCTCTTTACTTGTCCCGCTGCCTCTATAGGCGATATTAGTTTCTCCTGCGAGAATTACAGGCGCCGGGAAAGAACCGTGGTAGCTCTTAGTCAGCTTCGAGTCAGACTTAAAAATGTTTGTTTGGCTTTATGGAAGCGCTAGACGGTTTGCTCTTGCTCGTGAGTAATGATTAGATGTTTGCGGTGGTGAGTCGTATTAGGAGCGAAGAAAAATATACGCCGACTTCCGTCGTCATTCGAAACGTTAATTAATGCTTCATCGATTTGCTTCTCGTTCAACACATGCATCTTGCAAGCGAGTTACAACGTTACGGTTAATGCAGTCCTGTACAGCTTTGTACACCGCGAGGTACACGCATATCGGACCATTGATCAGACCCGTGACAAAAGACCTCGCCGAATGTGACAGATCGCGCGCAGTATCGGCATCGTTTGAAAGATGTTAGACTACATACGATGTGCGGCGATGATTATTTTCGGCCAGGCGCACGTTGCGCACACGGAAATAGATTTTAAACGCGAACGAACGCTGGGACTTCGCGCGAAGTCAACGTTCCGGCAACGAAACGATCGCTGAAATTTGTTTGCCCCCCCACGTTCGGTTTTACGAGGCTGAAGATTCGGCTTACTTGGCTGGATCGGCGTACTCGATCGCCTCGACGATGTCGCCGACGTTCACGGCGAATCCATCGGTCTCGCTCTTGTAATCCTTCACCACGATGTAGTTGTCCAATGGTTTCTGAAACAACGCAATTCAGACGAATTTATGGAAACGGTCACGCGTGTTTGCGACAGCTCTCGTCATGGTTTTTGATATACGAGATGTTTTGAAGGAAGAGATTTCATTTGTTCGACATTTGAACATAATGGAGAATCAGATTGGTATATAATTCGGTAACTTAATTGGAAACGAATATTGTGGACTTGTGGACGAAAATGACGAGAGAATCATCCTAAGATAGGGATCCTAGAAGATATAACCTTATCCTCGACTATTTCATACTGAATTCTATCCATCGTTACGTTACCCGCTCACAGCCATTCTCTTGCTGGAAGTTGCTCAATCTCCTCAAGCTAGGTGTGTTCTCTCGGCTGCCGGAATATCCAAACGATCGGTCAGACCTCGACAGCACAATACCATTACACTCCTGTTTCTGATAAGTTGCAGTACCCGATCCGTCGAGACTGCTAGCCATTGAGGTAGTTCCCGTGAACGTGGATAGTATTTCAATATCCACGTCTTCGTCTTTCGCAACGGGGCAACAGTACATGGAGAATCGATGCGCGGTCGGACGAGCGAGTTGGAGCGCGGAGAAAACGTGGAGCGGTTCGAAATGATGAATTCCATCCTCATCGAGGACGGTATAGGCGACTTCGCCAGTTAAAACGGACCTAGAGGCTTCTCTGGGCACTACAGCTTGCAAACCCTGTTTCAAGATCATGAAAATCGTGGATGGCTTGTGGTTTCTTCTCAAAAGGAACTCTTCCATGGCTAGGCTATTGTCAGAATGGAGCAGAACCGATGGTACGTCAGCTGATGACTGGAGGGGACCTTCTTCTGGGACGATCATTAAGGCTGCGCTTTCTCTGACGAGTGTTCTCAATCGTGGATCAGTTCTGGCCAATTCTGGGTCACTGCATAATTGTGTCAGGGCGTTCATAAATGGTGGCCTTTCCTCCGCTAATTTTCTCATCACTGTCAGTCGCTTCAGGACATCCAATGTCACTCTGTCACTGGCTAATGCACGCGTTGATTTCTCGTCGCTAATCACTGCCAGCAAGCTGCTGGCGATGTTGGACATGCCTAAAGCTCTGGCTAGTCCCACGGCCTGAAGGAGCATCTCTCGAACGTTTTCTCCCTCGTCGTTCAGCAATTCTTGCACGTGAATCTCACTCGATTCTCTGACTGCCTGGACAATGGCTTTGTGAACGGTCTCCGCAGCTTCTTTCTCGGTAACGATCGTGGATACTTCTTCGGAAACCTTTTGAAGCACGCGGGTGACCAGTTCTGGGTCGTTCCTGGAGACTGTTCTGAAGGCAGGGCCAACTAGGTCCGCACCGTGTTCTTCTTCGAGAACCATAGATAGCCTGTCTAGTACCACGTCATCTTTCAAAGATTGACTGACCACGGTAGATTTTAGGATATCCACCTTATTGTTCCTATTGTCTAAGAGCTCCAACAAAGCAGACTGACATAAATTACTTCGATTCTGAGGAACTAGAAGTATCTGCAGTATTTCTTCCACGGATTCCTGAATACTGGTATCCCTTTGACGCAGGAGGACATTGAAAGCTTCACTGATGGAAGAATAAACGAAATCCTGCTTAGAATCATTTCCACTTTCCGCAGCCTGACTTGTGATCGCCAGAACAGCGCTAGACATAGCTATTTTCACCGCGTCTTTCAGCCAATCGCCATTTGTATCGTTCGCATTCCCCCGTTCTTCCCTATTTCTATGATCATTTACAACGATAGGAGACTTGGTACCATTCATCAACTTCGAATCCAAGTAATTCTCCTCCATCTGCTGCTCCTGCTG